GGGGGGAGGGACGAGGCAGGAGGCAGGAGGAGGCGCTGAAAGTTCACCGCACGGTCAGCTGAACTTTTGAGCCTCGAGGCCCGCAGACCATGCGGGCGATGAGGTCTATGCTCCTCCCGGAGACGTTGACGCCGTCAACCTCAAGGAGTTCCTGCAAGGAAGTTGAGGAAGAGAAGAAACAAGGACAGGACAGGACAGGACAGGACAGGACAGGACAGGACAGGACAGGACAGGACAGGACAGGACAGGACAGGACAGGACGGGACAGGACGGGACGGGACAGGAAGCATCAACGTTGAGGTCATTCAGGAGGGACATCAAAGAAGAGACATGTTGGACGAATGGAGCAAGAGGATGACAAGAGGGGGAGGAAAGCAGTTGTTGATCCTCACATCTCCTATCTTGATCTCTCCTGAGCGAGCAGCAGGGAAGTCGGAGAACAATTCGGAGACGAGGAAACGCCCCGACCGATCCTCCACAACTCTCATTCCAACTCCGACGTCCTCCCTATGAGTCTGCGAAATGATTATTGCACCTTCCTCTTCCTCCTCCTACTCCTCCTCCTCCTCAGCATCCTCCTCCTCCTACTCCTCCTCCTCAGCATCATACTCCCCCTCCTCCTCAGCATCCTACTCCCCCTCCTCCTCAGCCTCCTGCTCCTCCTCCTCCTTGCCCATTCCATACCATCCAAGCTCAGCTGATACCTTCCTGCTCCTCTCTACTTTCTCCTCCTCACTTCCTCTCATCCAGTCAAACCTCGCGATGTGCAAGAGATCCTGAACGATTCCCAGCAGAAGTTCCTGAGCACAGGGTAAATACGAGCATCAGCCATGGAAACGGGAGGAGGTCGAGGAGGACGAGGACGAGGAGAACGTGGGGGATGTAGAGGACGTGGAAGACGTGGAGGACGAGGTAGACACCTGGTTCCTTGCTGAGAGTGCCGAGGACACTGTTCTGAAAGCGAGCAGGAGGAGTCGGATGAGAGAAAAACGGAGAAAGAGAAGGGCAAAGAGAGGAAGGGCGAGGTGACAAGAGGGCTGGGGAGGAAGAGAGGAGACATGTTATGGAGCGGGGCGATGAGAGGAGGAGAAAGGAAGCAGGGGGGGGAGGGGAGGGGGGGCGGACCTGTTGCGATGACGATAGCGGTGTTATTCCATCGTTGCCATTGGAAGAAATTTTAGAGACGTTCTGAGATATTTGATGAGGAGGTGAAAGTCGTTGAGATTTCTCTCTCACTTCACTCTTTATCTTCGCAATCTCAAGTGCATCGTAAGCAGCTTGAGTTTCTAAGATCCAAAGCTGAGGAATCGTTAGCTTAGGAATCTCCTCCTCCTCCTCCCCCTCCCCTCTCCTCCTGCTCCTGCTCGTGCTCGTGTTCCTGCTCCCCATGCTCCTCCTCCACCTCCTCCTCCTCCTCCTGCCATTGCCTCACCTGATCCTCCAGCTCCTGACATGTGTTTTCGCTCTCAAGGAGCCGCATCCTGTAATCATCGACAGCGACTTTCATCTGATCCCTCAGCAGCTTCTCTGTCTGCAGCGAGGCCGACAGGCTCTGCACTTGAGACAGCAGCTCCTCCCTCTCGCCCTGCACATCCTCCCGTCACAACTCCACAAGCAACAGCTGGAGCTCGTGCCACCTGCAACTGAGCCAGGCTCCTCTCCAGCTGCGTCTTCTGCTTCAGAGCATCCTCCTCCTTCACTTCGTCCTCGACCTTGCTGTGCTCCGCTTCCATCGCTGCCTTCGCAGCGCGTGCGAGCTCCGCCCTCAGCCATTCCGCCTCCATCTTCTGATCCTTCACCTCCTCCCGGACCATCGCTAAGGTGAGAGCGATACTTTGGTTCTCCTCCCTCAGCAGCAGCATCTCCCTCTTCAGAGTCTCGTGCCTCTCCAACAGCGAAAGTCCGTCCGAAGGTTTCCAGCCCGTCAAGGTCCCGGAGGGAACCACGTCGTCTGATTGACCAAAGAACTTTCTACGAGTCTGAACGTGGAACACGACTCCTCCTCCTCCTCCTCCTCCTCCTCCTCCTCCTCCTTCTGTCATTTCTTCTCCTCCTCCCTCCCGTTGCCGTCCTTTGCGGAAGCTCAGAGTGACCCTGCTTCCTTCTCCTCCTAGCAGCATCCTGCGCAGCAATGACGTGGGAAGGCCGGACAAGTCCTCCCCATCGATGCCGACCAGCAAGTCTCCCACCTCAACTGCACAAAGACGTTCGTCATGTCAAGGAGTAGACAGAGCGAGGGCAGGGGCGAGCAACACCTTCCACGTCCTCTTGCCCGGCGAAGTCAGAAGGCGCCCCGAAGATCTTACGGACGGCGGCATACTTGTCGCCATAATGCATCGAGAAAGTCAGCCCCACTCCAGCTCGACGGCATTCCGGCGGGGCGTCTGGTTTCAGCTGATATCCACCTTCAGCTTCCACATCCATCATGTCAGCTCAGCCCCCGGCAGTCCTCTTGCCTCTCAGTCCTCTTGCGTCTCCGACCTCTTGCGTCTCAGGATCCGTTCACAGCCGCACTGTCACTCGCGCCGTCGTCAAGCTTCCTCAGAGGCTGCACTGCATGAAGAACTTGCGCCTGCAAACGAGCCGGAACTCTTGTCAGTAGCAGGTCACCTGCTCCTCTTGCCGGTCAGCGGCCTCAGTTCTACTGATCTACCCTCGCCTCTCGGGCCTCTCCTCGCCTGGCCTCGCTTCAAGGCTTCCTGGTTCCCCCAGTCCCCTGCCTCAGAGTCTTTTCCTCTCCCCTCATTTCTCTCCTCCCCTCTCCTCAGGACCTCCTCCTCTCTCCTCTAAACTTCTCTAGTCAAAACATTGACAGGAACTTCAAAAAAAAGGTCAATAAACCGGCGTGAACGGCGCGGCCGCGGGCCGGGCGGCCGCACTGAGCCGCCGGGCCGCCGTGCGAGCCCCGGTGACTGACTCTGAGTGACAGCCTACTGTCGAACCGGGCCGTACGGTCACAGAGCCAAGTTTCTATCATAGCCTGAGCCTGAGACTTAACTTCAAGTCACTGAACTTCGAAAACCTCCGAATGGTTGAGGCTTGAAACTTGAAACTCAGTGACCCGTGCCACTAATTTGCCGTTACTGTCCTATCGGGCCGGCCGGGCGGCGCCGGCCCGGCCGAGTCCCGGGCCGACTCGGAGACCGTACGGTCACGCGGCGGCACTGGCGGCCGCCGCCGCCAGTGTGAGCCGCGCACTGCACGTGACTCAGTCGACCGGCGTCGGACAGTGTTCCGACTGGTTGAACCGTTGAACTTGCCGGGCAGTGCGCGGCGACTCAGTCGTGAACGGTTCACGGCCCGGGGCCCCGGGAGCGCCGTCCGCGCGGCAGAGCCCCGCAGGCGGGCCCGATTGTTAACTTCCGAGACGGTCACGTTGGCATCCGGCGATCATGCCATGTTGATCCGGCGGGCCCGCCCGTCTTGTACGGGCCGCCGGGCCGACTCAGTGAGTCACTGAGTCACAGTGTTCACCGGGTGACTTTGAGTAAATATCAGGTGAGCTGCTTGCCAAACAAGCTCTCGGAGTTAAGTTAAAGATCAGTACGAGGACAATCAGGAGAGTCGAGGAGGCTTGACCCTGACTGCTACTGCAAGTGGCGATCAAAAGGGGGGTGGGGTGGTGGTGTAGGATAGAAGAGGTGACGGGGGTCATAGGGGTACCCTACGGGCTTGCGGCCCCGAAAATATAATGCCAGAAAAATTATATCATATTATATATAAATATGTATATTGAGTGGTAGGATGAGAGAGAAAAGTTTATAATTATGTGCTTGGCTTGCGGGGGATGTATCTGAGTTTACGTGAGTGGCGGAATACAAAGTAGGGTGGTGTTGGAAGGGGGTAGTAAAAGCGTATAAAAGGGGGTAGTAAAGTCAGGACAGGAGCAAATTGGATCAAATAGTTGGGGTGATTGTTGGACTGGGGTGGGGTGGGGTGGCATGATAGGCCGGGCGTATCTATAAGATAAAAAATGCGAGGTCCTACGGAATGGAGGACGAGAGGGGGAGGAAGAGGGGGAGGGGGAGGGGGAGGGGGAGGGGGGAGGGGGGAGAGGCTACTCGTAAGATGGACATAAAGCTAGAGAGAGAAGCTGGAAAGCAAGGAGAAGTGGAGGCGAGGATGTGTAGTGCGTTGAGGGGAGAGACAGCAAAATGTCAGGAGTCGTAGTGGTGTGTTAGTCCTGTACGGGTCATGTTTGAAGGTGAGAAAGCGAGAACGTGACAGGCATGTGGGATTTATCATTGTTGCTCGTGACAAGACTTCGAAAGTGTCATGATAGTGGGGAACTCATAGGAAAGAGCTGGAAAAAACCGTTGCATTGCGGGCAAACAGTCGAACCTTTGATTCCTGACGTTTTGCTCTCAAGGTCTTGAATCCAACGATGACAGCAGGCGCAGGAATGCTAACAACCTTGAGCAAGAATAGCTTCGTGAGAGGACTGCGAATACCCCGGGGGATGTCATGCATATCGGATGCTTGTGTGTGCGTGGAACCCCCAGTATCACAGCTGGGGAAGAAGGGTGGCTCCTTGGCAGGCAAAAGATGCAGCCTTAGCGACGTGTCAGAAGATTGCATGTCAAAGATCATGTTTCTGCTGGATGGAAACCACATCTTGATGCTGGCATGCACCTGCAGACAGTTCTCGATGTCGGCTAAGAGCCTGCATTTCTGGAAGTGCTTCTGCACACGACTGGATGCCTTCTGCAAGGAAGATGCCACAGAGATCGGAATCTTCACCAACAACGGAGAAGACGACCACAAGGACTGGATCAGGTTGAACACACTCCTTGAGCACGAGCGAAACATTCGTATCCTGAGGAACACAATCGAGTTCCCAGAGCGGGTCAGCATGAAATGCGGGAAGCAGAGCTATGGGCACTTGATACAGTATGTCGGCAAGCTGGGAGGTGACAGAGCCGTAAGGGGAGCACATGGATGGACTTTGCAGGTGAACAAGAAGCGCTGGATTCGGAGTGTCCTTGAGGGTACGATGTGCCGGCTGGGTTTGAGAAAGGCGAGGTCCAGCATCCTGGAAGAGCTCCCTCCTATCCTGGCAGGCTGCGACTCCAACGTCCTACACGTTCAGGCTCAGTACATCTTCTCCCTGTGCTACTACTACGAAGTCAAGATCCGAGAGATCCTGCTGAAGAATGGTTCGCAGCCGAACACGAGGAAATGGTGCATTGCCATCGGACTGTCGACCAAAGACTTTCGTCTCACCGGAAGACAGCCGGGCTGGGACAGCAACTCGTGTGCGTACCATGGAGATGATGGCAAGGTCTACTGCCGAAACAAGACCTGCCGCTCTTGGCCGACTTTTGGGGCCGGAGATACTGTCGGGTGCGGTCTGTGTCAAGACAAATCCATCTTCTTTACGCTCAACGGGAATTTCTTGGGTGAGTATTGGTGATCCGAGAACGTGCAGGAGCATGACCATCATTGTAGGATTCTTGAAGGATCACATCCTGTGGGATCCTCGAAGGCAGACGCTCCACCCGACGATCGGCATCGACTCCTTCCAACCCCTGGAGGTGAACTGGGGAACGAAACCTTTCATGTATAACTTCGAGGAGGTGAGAGAGAATCCTGAGAGCCTCGCGCTCCCTTGAGTGAGTTTGATCCTCTGCCGTCCAGGTCTTGACTGCATCCAACAACCCTCCCAGCTGAGGCAGGTGGACTGACAAAGTCCCCGCTGTGCAGCTTCAATCTCCTGGTGAACAGTTGGTGTATGATATCTGAGACGAGTAACGTGTGAAGCGATGAGGTAGTTACCACTTCTTGCTACGGCAATTGTGTTTATCTTTTAGTTTCCACTGTATGATAATCTAAAGAATGATTTCCGAGAGATAGCACGTGCCCCGATCCAAGAACAATATGTTTACAGCTCCTCCTGTCTGTTGGCTCCTCTTCAAGCCCCGCCATGACTTCATCAACCCGCTGGCAGCCCTCTTCCCCTTCTTCCCGCTCTCCTCAATCTTCGCCCTCGTCCTCTTGATTCTCCGCTGCCGGGTTGTTGAACTGGACCCGCACGTTGGTCCCTTCGTGCTGGGGGCCCTCGAAGATATACCGGATGAGGGCCGGGGTGAATATGATGCGCTTCCCTGTGCCACAGGTCAGGACGGAGCAGAGAAGGGTGAGGAGCTGAGAAGAGCAGCAGCAAGGCAACAGCTGGAGGGAGACTGGACCTCTGAAACGCCCGGGCATCCTCGGAACAATGTCCTCGAGATAGTAGTAGACGTGCCCGACGAAAATGCCGACCAGGTCTACGACAGGGCTGGACCCTAAGAGGACCGAAAAAGCAAGAAGGACCTGAGAAGCAATGTTCAACTCCTCTCATCTTCCATCGGCACTCCAGAGGCCTCACCCAAGGCAGCCATGGAGCAGGAAAGTTGAAGAGGCCGAGGAAGTTCATAGGAAACGTCTCGTTCCCTGGGAGCGCAGGAAAGGCTTGATAAGCTTGCAAGAGGATTTCGGCACGGCAAACTCACTTCGACCCCACACGTAGACCATCATGAAGGTGAGGGAGTATCCGAGAAACAGCACCGATGAGAAGGGGGCGATCATGAGCATGATGGAGGCGCCGAACCTGCGCCCTCGCGTTCAGCTGGACAAGAGCTACCAAAGTCAGGTACTGACAGCAGCATTGTCAAGAAGTCCGCTGATCTTCCTCGGAATGATGGTCCTTCTTCCAACAGTCGGCTATACCTCACCCTGCAGGCTCAGCGTGAGTTTGGTGCCCAACAAACAAGCAGAAATGGTGACGTACAAGAAATACATGTGAAACACAAAGTCCAGGCTCGGCATGCCGAAGAAGAAAAAGTTGGTGAAGACTCGCCAGACCTGCACCAACTTCACATCAGCAGCGTCCAGATACACTCAGGCACTCACCTCATACTTCTCGAAGATCAATCTGTAGTTGAGGTACAAGGAGAAAGGAGAGATGAGGTCGAAGTAACAGGCAGCAGTTGTCAGAACTGATATCGTCAAGTAGCATCTGGTGACGATCGGGATCTCTTTGTACCATGTCTCAAAAGACATGCTTGACTGGGTGTTGTTTCTAAGAACGTGTTGCTGACTATGAAATTCGTCCTTGCATCTGTAGAGGACTCGAACTGCGAACAACGAGCGTCAGCGAATGTGGGGGTAGAGCACGAGCCTCTTTGAATCATCACAACGATTGTTAGTGCGTGATCCAGTGAACAAGTCATTGAGGCATCAACACAAGAGAGGAAATCAGCGTCATGTCGCCGAATCTTGGCTGCGCTGCAGGGTGACAGGGGAGTGGATCCCTGAGGCAAGCAAAGAACATCGCACCGAACCTAACCTCTATCTCAAAGGAAACCCTCTGATGCGAAGCTATTGGTCAGAGAGATCTTTGGTTTGCACGTAGTCATACCACAATTTCTCCTCTTTGCTCTCGTGTAGTTTGCTCGACGATTCGTATGGTTGACGTTCTCTTGCTCTACATCTTTACCTTCCCTTCACTATCATTTCTCTCTCCCTTCATTTTTCTTCTGCTCCCATTTTAACCTCCCCTCGGTCCAACCTCTTTTGTTGCTTTTTCCCTCCTGATCTTGATCCTGCTGCTCCTGCTCCTGCTCCTGCTCCTGCTCCTGCTCCTGCTCCTGCTCCTGCTCCTGCTCCTATCTTATCGCCCCTGCTCATGCTCATTTTTCTACCGTATCGCACCTTCTCCTTGTCCTGCTCCTTCTCCTCCCTTCATACTCCAACCGCTGCTTCGCCATTCCTGCTCCTGCTCCTGATCCTAGTGTTCCTGCTCCTCCTGCTCCTCCTGCTCCTCCTGCTCTTGTCCTCCTCCTCTCCTCCATCCCTTGTCCTCCTCCTCGCCTTCCAGTTCATTCCATAACCCCACCACCTGAGCCCTCATCCCCCTTCGACCCTTCATCCCCCTCAACTCCAGCAGGAAAGCCACGTGGACGGGTGGTGTTACCTGAACTGTGGGGGTTGTGGTACCTGAATCACCGGTACTGTGGTAACAATTTAATGAATCGAAGTGAGATGAGTCAAGATATAGGGGTCATTGATGGATCAAATGGGGGTATATTTGAAATACTCGGGTAGGGGTGTACAGAATGGGGGTAGGGTAGTGATGTTTGGGGTAGGGTGTGTGGGGTGGGGTCTCGTGCAGCAATGGCCGCGCGCCTTCGAACTCTGTTGCTTCTCGGTAAGGAGGAGGAGGAGGAGGAGAAGGAGAAAGAGCAGGAGGAGGATGTTATAGAGAAGGAGATGAAGGAAGGAGGATGCAAGGTCAGAGAAAATCCTAAGTGGATCTAACGAGCATGTGACTGCGCTGGAGGATCTTGCGTTGTCTTCGGGGTCATGCAAACATTGAGCGGTTTCCCGCTTTCAAGAGCAGAGATTGAAGATCTTGCAGAATGAGGATAAAACGTTTTGAGATTCGTGACACGTGGATCAGCTTGCCTTCATCATGCATGTATAGATGAGAAAGGCATGAGGGTAGGATGTAGGAATTCAGTATATAGGAGGGGAGCAGAAGGGGTGAAGAAGGGGTTGTGTTGATCTGTAAGGCAGCAGTGAGTAGAAGTACAGCTCAACATTGCAATATCAAGTTCGATTTGTTCTCTCTCTCTCGCTGACGCGGCTCCGTAGGGCTTGTTCTCCTGGCCATGGCTGATCAGGAGCCAGAGGATGAGGGAGGAGCGAGCGTTTCTTCGGAAGAGTCAGAGGGTGACGACATGGGCGTGAAAGGCTCTTCGGAATTCGCCAAGACGACGATCCTCTTTCCAGACTTCCAGGACAAGAGTGAGTGATGCTGTGTTGGGATCTTTGTTGTTCTGACTGCCCGCGCCCTTGCCCCTGCCTCCCTTCACCTGTTCATTAAGTCCCATCTATGATTTGTGATTAATTCTGTGAGTTTGCCGATCTGGTGTATGCTTGCTGTGCCGCTCATTCCAGTGCTTTTTTCTCACACCTCCCTTCTCCTGTGCAGAGTTTGTGCAAGGACAGTTTGTCGATGCTCTTTGCGGATTTTCTAACCTCGGGGACAAGTCGTTCAACATCACCAACCTCAAGGGGTACCTCATCTCTCCCTACGACTACAGCATGTACATCCAGAACTTCAGCGAGGTCCCTGCATACACTGAGGTGAAGAAGGGAGAAGAAGGAACCCTCATGTACCGCTTCCTCCCCGACCCTGCCTTGGAGCCCCGTGAGTATATGCTCACCCTGACCGTGGACTACATCGATGCGGACAAAGAGGAGTACCAGACTGCCTTCTTCAACAGCACCATCGAGATCGTTGAGTCGCAGAGTGCGCTGGACTCGCGCGTCCTGTTCGGTCGCTTCCTGACCGTCTGCTTCTTGGGCATCCTTGGCCTCGTTGGGAACGCTGCTTACAGCAGGTTCATGCCGAAGAGGAGGAAGACGGTAGACACTTCGGCGAGGAGCAAGGAATCGTCCCAGAACGAGTGGCTTCAGGGAACTTTTGTGGGTGGACAGAAGAGCTCGAGCGGAAACAAGAAGAAATCCAAGTAGATGTGTTGGATGATGTGATGACAATAATGAATCTGGTTAACAAGAGTGAAGCAGTTCTCGATGTTGAGCAGCCTCGATCTCTTGTTGAAGGAAATGTGTCCTCACAGAGAATGATGTCCGTACAGAAAGAGGGCTGGCGAGAGATGTTTTACAGCAATCATAGTTTCCGAGAAGTAATCCTCTAGATGAAACATACCACTGTGAGGAATTTATTATCGAGAGATGATACATGTTCTATGAGGCATCAAATGTTATTCAAGCTGTATCACCTTTTGGACGCCTTACAACAAACAAAAGAAACGACAAGCAGAATTATGCTTGACTTGCGAACTGTAGGACGCCTGTGTTTGATGTCGAGGCACCAACATCCTTGCCGCTCGCCATCTTCTGAAGCAGACCAGCGATTCCAATCAGGAAAGTCAGGACTGTGAACACCACGATCGACAACTGCGATGAACGAGATAAGAACTAGCATACAAAGAGAGCAACAAGATGAAACCAGGAGCTGCAAGTTGACGTTCATTGGAAGGCCCCAAATTCCACTTGTGTAATAAATTGAGAGATATGCAGCCCTCCACTGTAAGTTGACAGTCAGGAACAATCTTAGACAATCGCAGCACTTGCCTTTCCATTTCCACATATTCGACTTTGCCCATGGTTAGTACTAGAACTACTCGCTCCGCAAGCCCCATCACCCTCATTGCACCTGTACAGTGTCAATTCCGACAAACATTTCTCATGTTAATTTTCACTCATTGCAGCTTCCCGAGTAACATGAACCAGTCCAGTCGATTGCAGAACTTGTAATGCTGAAACTGTCAGAACCAAGGCCGTTAGATACTTGTGCACTCTCTGAAGTGTGAGGTTTCACGCACCCGTTTCCATTGATAGTCACAGTTTCACCACATGCATTTGTCGATGTCGCATTCAAGGAGGAGTCAACGATCCACTGCTCTGATTGTCATCGATATGAACTACATAAAATGTCATTAATTTACCTTATAGCACACGGCTGCTGATTTCCAGTAAGGATTTGGTGCCTTGTCTTTGTCTGCTGTAGGACACAGGCTCCCAACGCATTCATAATACTGATTTGTAGCATAATTGAGGATAGATCCGCAATACTTCTTTGCATCAGATTGTTGTAAGCCTTGGGCTACAAAGCGATAATTTGTCCTGCATAGCATGATTCAACTTGTCACGAAAACGCTCAACTACGCATTATGATAGAGTATGCAAAACAAACTTACGTGCTGCTTGGTGACTGAGGGTAGCTTGCTGTAGTGATGGGATCACCTGACAAGTATGAAGAGTATGCGCAAGTTTCTGTGTTTGTTGACTGGTCGTAAGATCTGCAGATGCTGCGAATCTTAAGACCTGCATACGCCTGGCTGTAAAGATTGATCTTTTTGGTCAGATCAGCCTTGAGGTTCGTGGGAGTGAAACTCGTTAGGGTGTAGTCATGCGAGCAATGCTTCCCAATAGGACAATCACAATCGTTGATGCACTCTACACACACACCCTTGACTTCGACTGGCTTCGTCAAATCTGCGAGCCCGTATGCCGATGTCGAGTACATTTGATCGGACCACCAGATGTTACAGATGGGCCTGGAACTGTCTGTACAGTCTGCATGCTTCGTACAAGTCGTGTAGGTGTTGGCAGAGAGACTGCCAGGTAGTCTGATGAGGAGGGAGAGAAGGAGGAGTGGGGCGAGAGGCGAGAGGACGGAAGCGCTACGGCCCGACGATCGCGACTGCATTGCGACTTTTGTTCAGCTGGCTTATTGGCAGACCGAACCCCCCCCCCCTAGTAGTACACGCAAACGGTACTACGGTAGTACCGTCCTACCCACCCCCACCCCTACGACCCTCACCACCCGATCGGACATTGCCGCAGTGCGGCGGATCGCCAGGGCGGCGTAACTGACATGGAGGGGTAGTCTTAGGGGATTCGGCGGGGGTACTATCGTACCGGTACCGTACAGTTTCCTGGCTCGATGATAGCGTCTGGTAGGCCGGGCCGTAGGAGTAAAAGGAGCCCATAGGTACTAGGGTAGGGGTGGGGTTCTAATACGGTACTGTACCCGATACTATGATAGTAGTAACAGCCTGGCTATGGGTCACCCCCCGACGTCAGTAGTAAAATTCATAGTGACCGAGGGGTGCGGCAGTGGGTCCGAGTAGCGACTGAAGTGACACACGTAACGTCTCTGAGTCTTTGCAGTAAAAATAGATCATGACCCCCAACGGGCACTTCAAGCCCGGAGCGAGTCCGGCGGCGCCCGCCGTGGCCGGGGCCCGGGGCCGCCCGGCATTGGTGGCCCGCCCCGGGCCCGGCCGCCGGTACGGCGGCGACGGTCACAGGTGTACTCAACTTAGCCTACGGTTCCGAAGTTCGCCGCAGCTGTGAACTTGCCTTAACTCAATCCTCCTCGACTCTCCGAGGCCTGCAGTCGCAGTGCCACGGATCATTGTCCTCGTACTGATTTTTAACTTAACTTTACCGTGTACGCCGGGTAACTTACTACTGAAAGGTACCGTACAGTACGGGACCGACCGGTTCCAGGCTAGGCGCGGCTGACGGCTCACACTACGCCGCCCGGCGGTTCAACCTAGCTCACACTTCGCACCCGTCCGATCACTACTACACGCACGGTACTAATTTTAATTTAACTTTGGCCGTAAACAAAAACCAGAGTCTCCGAAGTTGCCATTAGCCGGCCCGGCAGCCCCGGCCCGGGTGTACTGTGACGATCACGTACGCCGTACGGTAGTACAGTACGGTACCCGCGGTACATCACGTAGTCACTAGTACGGTCCGATCCCGATCGGACGGCGCCGCCGCGGGGCTGGTTCCGCCGGGCCGGGCGGTTTATGGCCGCGCACTGCGGTAGGAATAATATCAGGATGCAGAGAACTAACAGAGGTGATAAGAGATTGGTACAGATGTTCAAGCTTGTTTACTTCAAGCAACCCAGTCTCACAGAGACCCTTCACCTCATTCTCCTTTCCTTTCCTGCAAATGCGAGCGGCCCTTCTTCCCTCTCCCTCGGTCCCTCAATAAATAGGGCCCGGGATGCCTGGTCCTAGGAACTACCACTACCGGTACTCTACGCTTCGTATCCGCGGTATCATGGTCCTTCGACCGGTCCGAGCCCTAGCCCCATAGCCTGGAGGCTCCCTGGAACCTGTGTGTCTCTGCAACCTGCTGAGAGGTGGTCTCGTGCCTTCATCGTAGGACCTCCTGAAGAATAGTCATGATAGTACTGTCTTCTCTGATCGAACCCCTTGTCCTTCCATTATCCATGACTGGCAGGGGTGATACTTCCGAAGTTCCAGCTTCCCACTAGCCGTTATTCCTGTCACTTGCTGTCCTGTCGTAGACTGATATAAGCTGACTCGCTTATCACCTGCTGCCATCCATGGGTCCTAGGTTCTTGCTGTCTTCTTCGTGATCCTCCTACGTCGTCCCTATTGTAGCTGTTGCTGTCCTTTCCGTGAGCTTGTGCACAGAGCCACATCGACTGCTTGACATGACCTGAGGTGAGGCTTGCTCTGATCACTTGCCTCAACACGCGACCGTACGGCCCAGACGGTACCGTACGGCGGCGCCGGGCGGCGCCGGGCGGCCCCGGCGGCGTGCCAGCACCCGGCCCAGCTGACCGGCGGTCCGACGGTGGCCGCACCCACTGAGCCTTGCGCGCCGCCGCAGCACTGTTAACTGACTCTCTCAGTGACGGTGAATGGAAAGGTATCTCAGGTAAGTCACTGCCACCGCCTGAGTTTTCAATGGGAACAGCACTCAGTAGTGATGAACCGGGTTGGTTCTCCGGTGTCTTGCAAGTTGGTCCTCGACTTTTCCTCCTCGACTTTTCTCGAATTTCCTCGTTCTGATGTAACTTACTTTTGATGATTGCGTCGGGAGCAAATGATGAGCCTGAGCGTGGCAGTCACGGCAGTGAACCGTGGCAGGCTGCCGGCCGTGACCCCGGCCGCGGCGTGCCCAACCTTCCAAATCAAGTTGAGGAAGGCTGCTTGTTTTGCAGAGGTGACCGTAATATCCATTCTTCATTAAAATTATTTCGTTGACAATCAGCAACCTTGCTACTAAAGCGTTGCTTGAAACTCCGGAAAATGAAAATGATGCACTCAGACAACTATCTATGTCGCGTTAAGAATAAATCAAAGCATCACTGATTGTGGTTCCGCATATATCTGATCACGTCTTCGATCACTTCTCGGATCAGTAGCATCGAATCACGAGGTCTTCTGCGAGGGAGAGTTGAATGCCTTGGCCACTGCCTTGCCCAATGTATCCATGTCCTGCATAAATGTCCTAACAGGGTCAGCCGGCTGTTGAGCTCCGAGCTTCACCTTGGTTTTCTCTTGACCCTCTACCTTGTGTGAGACTGAGACTTCAGCGGAATCAGCTGCACCAGTTCGCATCCACTCATCGTATATCAAGCTGTCAGCTTGTTCCTTCGCTGTTTTCCGCTCCATGTCATTCCTCACCACGGCCACGAGCTCACATCGAAGCCCTGCTTTCTTCACGTCCCTGGCAAGTTTGATAGCAGAACTGGGAGAGAGCATCTTAAAGTCGTATACAAATACACGCGGGTTGCGCTGGAGGAGTTCCTGGAAGATGCTCAAGCCGTCGAAACCGAGGTTCAAGAAGGCCGAAGGAACTTTCATCTTCTCGCTCGCTGCATAGATCTCAACCGCTTCAACGGGGCTCACGGCTGCCATGACCAGATCACCGGCCTGCAAGTTGTCAATTTTGTATCCATGATGTGAGTTGTCGAGCTCCTTCGAGTAGATAATTCTGTTTGCTCCGGCTGACTTCTGAAGAAACTTCATGAACACAAAACGAGCGATAGGCATGGCAACAAACAAGGCTCCTGCCGCTAATCCTGCATAGCTCAGGGGACCACGATTTGATTGATTCAGAAGCTGCTTCTGCAGAGACTGCAGTTTAATTGCCCACGTGGAGAAGACCTCTGAAGAAAGCTGCATAATGGATCTTGCTTGTGGCTGCAGATGCGAACCAATGTATGACAGTGCATCTTGAGATTGTACAATCACAAACTCCATACCGGAACGCCCTTGCACCATTAAAATCTGCCATCCTTCCTTGCCTGCCTTGATCGCTACATCGATGCCGTCTCGGGCTTTGCTAACAACGTCGGCAAGCATTGCAAGTGTCGTACCAACTTCCCCGCTCTGAAAGCATTTGTTAGAAGCTCAAAGCGAGGAAATGTATTCAAAGTATTCTTTCTCGGTGATGAGATTAAGAGTTTAGTAAGGATGTATATTAGACACCACAACCCATCCAAGTGTGCGATGAAAGATTCCCCCCGTTCATCTTCCATGCTCCCTCATATCTTCTTCATCTCATCAGATCTGCCTCATCCCCAACATATGCAGTTCTCGCTCCAGCATTTCTTTAGTATTCTCTATCTTGTCATCGCTGTCATCGTTGAGCTATCTGACATCTTTTGCCCGTCCCAACTTGTGCGGTCCAGACCTTTCCTGACTGAACTGTCCAGTCCCTTTCAACCTAACCTCTACCTGACCTTACTTGACCTGACCTGTAGCATCAACAACATCCGACATCACATGAATCATATTCTCATCATCATCGTCATGACACAGCCGCTCATCTTCCGCTTCGCCCCCTTGCGCTCCCTCAACTACATTACGATGAGGCGTACATGGCACCCACCCTTCCCACCACCCATTTAAACCCTCATACCCTCAAACATCGAGTACCCCTCAAATTTACCATCAACTTCCCTAGATTCCACCCCTCCTCAGATCTGTGACTGGGTGGTACAAGAATCTGCACCGAAGGTCGGTCCATATCCAATGAGGGTGGGGGAGGGTCCTAGCAAATATGAAAATAGACTATGACCAGGTGCTAGGATCATTCCGTTATATTCCCATGGACCACCACCCCTACGGTGCGTCATAGAGGTGGGACAAGACACACCAATACCACCCCCCTTTCTACCAGCTTTAGAACCCCTACTTTGATAGTTGTGCGGACCCACTGCCAAATGACCCCACCCCGCGATGAGATACAGTCCAGTAGTGCTGTTGTCGAAGTACCCACCTTCAAATATTTGGACCCCCTCTTGTCATGTGTAATGGAGGGGTATAATTCGGTGTGTGTATCACCCCTACCCTCATCGATCTCATTAGGAAACTAACAACCGTTACAGAGCCGTTATATGAACTTCAGCCCGGACTCCGGCGCCGGGCGGCCGGACTCAGCGGCGCCGGCGGCCCCCGGGCCCCGGACGGCGCGGCGGCACTCCGTCCCGGGTCGTCTCCGACCCGGACCGCGGCCGCCGGCGGGCCGGGAGTCGAGGGCCGCCTCAGCGGACCGCCGGACCGTGGCGGCCGCCTCGGAGGCTCGAACTGGCGATGGCACCGTGACTGATCAAACTTCTGGCGACGGTTTACTCAGTCGGACTGAACGGTACTAGCCTCGGACCCGATGATCTCACTGAGCCGCGGCCGCCCGGCCGGGCCGCCGCCAGCCGGCGCCGACGGCGAGTCCATCCCCGGGGAGCTGAGCCTGCGCCGGGTCGGACCGTCGACGGCGACTCCGACTTACGACAGGATACCAAAGCAACACAGCATGTCCGATTCGATGCTCTCGACGGTAGAAACTTCAGGGAACTCAACCCTACAAGGACAAGATTCACACTGATCCAGCAGCAGAGTCGTCGGATCATCGCGCCGTGAGCCGCTAGTAGCCTTCAGGGCTGATAAGTCTCCGAAGCTTCATCTCGCCCTCACAAGTTCCTCTCATTCGTCGTCGTCGTCGTCTTCATCGCCGGTCATCGGAACCCTGAGAGGCTTTCCACTGCTACCGATCGCTTGAATGTCCGGACGGTTTGCAAACTTTGGGGCAGAGTGTCAGAGACGCAGCATCGGGCGCACAAAGGAGCAGAAGACACCCTCTATCACCTGCAGGATCGGGCTGCTCGTTGTGACGAATCGCAACCTGGAGCCAAAGTTCACCATGATGAAGAGGATTAAGTAAGAAGAGGAGAGAGGGGAGAAGTCTGGTCCAGCAGGACTCCAGGATGCACCCACCTTCCATCCACCCCACTCGACATCAACGTAGACATCGGGCCATGCTGATGAACCACGCGGGAGCGACAGAAATCAGTTGACAAGCACATGAGGTGGAGGATGTACCGGCCTCGGAGGGGTTGTGGTCTGGAGCTCAGAAAGCAGCGCAGTTCCCCTGTCCCCGACCAAGTCACTTGGATTGCACGAGATTATGGAGATGCAGACTTGTCGTATGATGAAGACAAGGCGTGCAGACTGTCAATCGTCTGCTGGAGTTTTGCAATCTGTGCAGAATTCGTCACAGGAGGAAGAGCAAACAGATGTAGCGAGAGATGTAATACCTTCATTGCCAGGAGTCTTTCAAGAAACTCTTTCGGTTGTTCGAGCTCTTGTCCATGTCTATTCACCTTGACATGTTCATCGTCAGCACACAACTCAACAGATGCCACCTATCGTCGTCTTCTCACCATCGCTTTTGCTTTGCACAGGTCGGCATCTATCTCGTTCACTTCAGCTTCGAGCTGCGTTTTCAGGGAGTGCAGCGATGCAAGAACCCAGGGAGCTAGATCAAGATTCTTCTTTAGAGAGTTGAACGCAGAGAGCAAGAAATGGCCAGTAGAGAAAAGTCGGTGGGGAAGGAGCCTCTAGAAACTACGGGCAGGTGCTCTTGGGACAGGGGAGGATATTTATCAGGCATCTTTCGAATCGGTGGAAACGGAAAATAAGAGGAGGAATATTAGATACTGAGTAATAGAGTGATTCTCAGTATCGCCCATCGATCTACCCCTCTCTTCCCTTCCTTGTGACCATTCTTTCCCACCTCCGCCATTCCCACTTCTCAACTTCCCGCACCCCTCGACCCGCTGCCCCATTCCCATACTATCACGCCCTGCTCTCTGTCTCTCCCCTCTCCCACTCTCATACTCCTCTTCGAGCTCCTCCTCCTCCGCCCGGTCCTCCTCCTCCCTTACCGTCCATGTCGTTGGAACTACGAATCCGCCATCGGCCGCGGCCCGAGCCCGCCTCACTATTCTTACCTAACACCAGGAGGGTGGGCTGTTATAAATAGGGTAGGGGTACTTTATTTGTGGTTTAGAAGGGGTTATTTGATAGTATATTTTGGGGGTTATCAGTTCTTGGTTGAGAATGTGTCAAGGGGGTGGTACATCATGTAGGGTGGTGTTCTGTGGGTAAAGGGGTGGGTGGGTAGGGAGAAAGGGGAAATTGCAGGCTCGTGATGGAGTGGGCGAAAGGCGATGGTGCAGGGGACGCGGTGGCAGCAGACGAGGAAGGAGAAGAGGTAAGAATGCACATGCGTGTATGAGCAGAAGAGGAGGAGGGGTGGGGAGGGGAGGAAGACGGAGTGGAAGGAGAAGAGTGGGAAGGAGTGATGATGGAAAGGAGATAGGAGGGAGGATGAGGCTATTCAGGTAGGAATGGTTCGCAGATGACGGTGTGATAGCAAAGTGAAGACGAGGCTATCTGCGGTGAGAGGATAGTAGTTGACAACAACAAGAATCGTTCGAGTGAGGATTTTGGATGGGGCTGGATTATATCCTCTGCTTCTGACAGCGCTGGCTACGAAGTCCCTCCTCCCTGTCAAACTCACTTTCTTTGGGTAGGTTTACCTCGGAACTTCGAAGCTGTTTGGGAATCAGTGGGATGGGAGCGTAACCTTTCTGGCAAAGGACAAGAGCAGGAGGACTTGTCAACTCCCCTGCGGCGTCTCCGATGTTGCCTTCGTCGGCTCAAAGTCGCACATCGGCGTCGCATGCGATGACGGAAACGTGCTAGTCCTTGAGTCCTCGTCCATGGGTGTGGAAGGATGGCGACCTCTACACATCCTCGCAGAGCATGACGACATGGTCACCTCCGTGGGCCCCTGCCTGTCTACATCTGGCAAGCTTGCCAGCGCAAGTGCCGATGGCAGCGTCAAGACATGGAGCCTTGCTGTGAGCGGAGAGTCCGGAAGCCTCTCGACCTTCTCAGGTCCTACTTGCTGCCTCGCTACCTTGCTCGAGAGGAGGAGGTGACGTGACGCGCAGGTCACAACGCGGCTGTGTGGGATGTGGAGTTTCACCCTGATGACGAGCATGTGGGTATCGGATCTCTGCTTGTTCCCCCCTCACCACACGATCAGGTGCTGGCGAGTGTTGGGCAGGACGGGACTCTCCGACTTTGGGATGATCGAACAAGTGGAGGCGGCGCGAGCGTGATGACGTCAGAAAACCAGGTCCGTTGCTCCCCCAGTCAGCCCTGCCTTGACTTGGCCCCAGAACCACCCTCTCTTCTGCTTGTCCTGGCTCAAGAATGCCAGCATGCAGATAGCAGTGGGTTCAGAGGAGGGCAAGGTTATCATCTACGACGCCAGGGACCTTCAGGTTCGGCCAGCGAGCAGGAGGGAGCGGGGGAGGACAGGAGCAGGAGGGATGGGGAGGGACAGGAGCAGGAGGAAGGATGACAGTGGCTGATGCGTTGCTCAATAGAAGGCCTGCTCGACTTTCAAGGCCCATGACGACAGTGTCCGGCGTATCGTACCAGCAGGTTCAGTGGGATCGCGGGGTGCGCCTCTTGTCTGACATCTGCTGGCTTGTCTGTACAGGTGCTGGCATCGTCTCTGCTGGGGATGATTGCGCTGTCAAGTACACGAGGGCTGACAGTGCCGACTTGAAACCTTCCTTGGTCTACAAGCACAAGGACTATGTTCGCGGTCTCTGTACAATTTCCGCTGGAAAGCAAGTACTCAGTTACTCGTGGGACCATACCCTTATTTGCTCTAGTCTCAGTTGATTGAAAACTGATTTGACTACCGCTCGTGCCACATCCAAGACTTGAACTCCAACTCCCGGGGTCACCGTCGCTGGGCCATGTTAAACGGGTTTTATTGCATGCATCATGAAAGTTGGTACTGCTGAGCCAAAGTCTGGATCGTGGGAGCCAAGTTGGGAGCCTGCGAGGCTGTTTGCTGCAGCTTCTCGATCACAAACCTCCCAGCGTCCGGGACATCCTGCATGCTAGTGAGCCACACTTGCTCACAACTCCATAATAGCGAGAGCAGCATACCGGGAGAGGGTCAGTGGCTGCCTTGTCCTGCGCTGCGTTGTGTAGCGCCATGAAGGATGAGTTGTTGTAGCTGACCAAGAATTCAAAGTCCACATCGTCTTCAACATTGTTGTTCATATGAATACCCCCCTGCCCATAGATGTCAACAACAGCGCCGTTTGATTCAACATGCATCACCCGATTGTTCTGTAAAGATTTACATACTGCATCCATGGCAGTGGCCCAGCACCCATACTTGTGTGCCCTTGGGCTTTCACATAATAGTCTGCACATACCGATCTAGAAACAGTGTCACACAACTCGCACCTACACGCACCAACAGTTGACACCTGGCAAACTTTCTTATCAATTGAGTCGTTGACAACTTGATTTAACTTGGGAACCCAGACGTGACTGCAGCGAAAATCGTCAGATGGTGTCGAGTGTTTCCCCACAGGCTCACGTCAAGAACTGCTCCATGAGACCAGCCTGAGTTGATTCAAGTTGGTCCAGCAACATCTCGGGTCCATGCTTAGCGATGTACAGGCTGAAAAAGACTATCAAGCCACGCAAGAACTTTCCGTTGCTAGCTTGTGGAAGCTTTTGGAACCTATCACGCCCTGTCAGTACTTAATTCACGAAGTCAGTGATGGGCTGACCTATCCAGAGCAGCATTTGTCAACACAGGCAAGAATTCGGGATACTTGCTTGACGGAACATGGCAAAGGATCGAGTTCAGAATACCAAAAGCATAGTTATCTGTCATCTTCGACATCATCAAAAATTGTATAAGGCCAAGTATTTGATGGAACAAAGCCTGGTTAGCGATAATGACGTCGGTAATGCGATTGATGTAGGCTTTGATCAGTCGGCTCAATGCAGGTTGATTGGCCTTTGATGCCCACACTGGTTGTTGCAAAAGAATAGGCAGGGTTTGAACATAGACTTCCGGGATCGGGGCAGGTCGCTTCTCGAGCAGTTGCGCCACCAGTTGAACAAAGTAAGGCTGGAATTCAGTAATGTCTTGCTCCATGACCATCTTGAACGGTGGCAACAACATTCCTTCCATCGCATTGACAGCGTTGACGTCACCAGCGACGCATATTTGCTTGATAACTCCTGCTAACGTCTCAAGATGTAATGATGAAACGCTGGATTCTTCGGAGCAATGTTCTGCTGGAAAGACTTGCACAGGTCGCTCAAAATTTCAGTTAGCTTTCCGGCCAGCAGAGCAGCAACCGTGACAACATCAGCCTGAGCCACGTTGATCATCCTCATGACACACTTCATGATGTGGGGATTCTCCTTTGACGCAGTATGGTTGAGGGCAGCGAACAAGTTGGTCAAAAACGGCTGCAACATGGGCTGCAGCTCCACCCTGCCCACCCTGGGAACTTCTCCATCCTTGACAGTCAGCATCTTCTCCAAGCAACATGCTGCGTAGGTGTGGACGATGCAGTCTTGCGAAGTCAAGAGGACATTCAAAATAGGAAACATGACTGCATAGGCCTCCTTAGGAAGCTGGTTTCGGAAGATAAGCAGAAACTTGAGCAAGTCCGCCATAAGAATTGGATTCTTAGAGACGTTCGCTGCAGTCACAGCTTGCAAATCTGGAAGGACATAACGCTGAAAGAACGAAACGATGTCAACGTGCGGGTTGATCATCACAACACCTCCTGCTTTTGTCTCAGCCTTGACAGCCAAGGCGATGAACAGATAGATTGCGGCATCTTTTGCCTTCCACTTGCTGTTATCTGCCTGGTACTGATTCAGAGCTGATTCTATCTCAGTCATGCAAAGTTGCGAAGTAGGCGCTTCAAAGTGAATACACATTGCATTCACCAACTCACATGTCACTCCCCTCCTTGTGTCTGTGACTCCACCTTCCAGGTCGCGTTGCATATACTCCAAGGGGTTGTCTTCAAAATCTTCTTCATCGCTTTCACGAATGCGCAGTCCAGGCACGACGACATTGTTCACAATGCTCTGCAGGTGCGCTGGTTGGAAGAAGGTGTAGTGCGTGCCTTTCAACACCGAGGACAAGAACCTGATGGCGGCAGCAGCCAGCTGATCGAATTGATATTGAACACCGAGATGCGTCAAGAGCGCCCAAACATCTTCCACAAAGGTTCCAAGGTGCTTCTGGAAGACCGGTCTTTCATCGGGCCTTGAGCCTCGATCCGAGTCATCCACAATGACGATGTACTTGTCAGCATACAGATGCAGGGCCTCGCAGATGGCTCGTTGCATCTGGTAGAGTGAAGAGAGCTTCTCGTCATTATCGTTGAAGAGAGCTTTCACAGGATCTGGAAGGTTTAGAAGTTGGTGAAACCCTTGCATCCACACATCCAAGTTGTCCTCAAACACCTCTGGGATATCTTGGTAGTTCAAATCGTAAAAGATGCGAGCCAGGAGTTCAAGCGTCTGAAAAAGGACCTCCAGAATGGCTTTGTTTCCGGATTGTTGTTGTACCATGGCCAGACAGCTCGAGTGTGTCCTGAGAAGCCTTTCGTGAAGTGCCAAGACTGCTTTGATTTCAGCCCACAGTTCGTCCGTGTGAGAGGCAGTCACATACTTCTGCGCGATAGCATGGATAATCTTTAAGGTTGCAACAGCAACTGCTGGATTGTCGCTGTCCAGATTCGACATGAGCTGCGGCAAGAGCTCGGGCCACTTTTGATCAAGAGGGAAGTCAGCATTGCAGATCGTGCTCAAAGATTCAGACAAGAAAGGCTGCAATTTCTCAGGCACAGTCATACTAGCCGACACGATCTCGGCCTTGACAGCAGCCTTATCAGCGTCCGAGATAGAGAAATCATGACTCTCGCTAGCAATCCAGTGGTTATTGATCAAGTTCTTCAGCTGGATTGCACCTTGAAGCCGAATCTCAGCAGCAGGCTCGGAGGCACCAACTAGTCTCAACAGGAGCAGAGGGTATCCAGGCTGTACTTTGGCTTGATTCAGCTGCGCTTCTGCTCCCTTCCTAGCAGTTGGGTCCGGAGACAAAGTCTGTCCAAGAAAGTTTGCTAGATGCTGTAGGTTCTCAGGTGTAGGATTCATCCTTCAGAACCCCTGACCCGCTCCCTTTTTGTCTGTCAGAACAAGACGAGAATGATGAAGGGTGTTTACTGAAGCTTTGTCCTGTCAGCAAACGAGTGAGTCACGCAGCAGACTTTGATATGATCAACAGGTAACACTATCTTTGATCAAGAACTGATGCATATGAGCATAGAGACAAATCGAACACTGATATGAAATTTCAAATATCAATATAACACAGTTTCGTTCGAGGAATAGGAGTCTCCTTCCTGCATCAGCTCATATGCATGTATTTCAAAGTCAAGCAGGTCTGTGTTAATGACGGCACATAGCACACGAAGAAAGCAACAAGGAAAGAAGTGCTTTGTGGGTGACACAAACATATTTTGTGCTGCTGCCAACCATTGACTTCTTCCTCACTTGTGTGTACGTGAATGAAACTTTCTACCACAAATCGCGTCTTCATTTTTCTTTGAATTTCTTGTCGATCATCTTTCCCCTCACAATGCCGTCACCTCTTCACTGCTTGCAACCCTCAGCAGGAGGCTGCATCGTAAGATCCTCGTACAAGATCATGCCTTGTTCTTCCTTCACTTCGATCATCTCAGCTAATCTCATCGACCAATGTACGTCTCTCACTTCATTCAACTCCTCTTCCCGCTCTCCTGCTCCTGCTCCTCCCTCTCCTCCCTGCCCCATCCTCCCTACGGACATCCCGCGCTCTCCCGCCATTTGAAGCGTGACTACCACCGGTAGATGGGATGTTCAAAATGAGGGTCCTACAATGAGGGTGGGGTGGGGGTCCTTCAAGGACACCTCATCCTCAAAAAAGAAAATTCTCACCACCCGTACCTACCCCCACCCCATATTTTGACTTTAGACCCCTTCTATCTACTACAAAAAAGTGGGTCTTTTTATTAAGCAAATCACTACCCCTACCCACCTCACTCATTTTCAAAATTTGAATGCCTGAGCGACGTTCTATAATCACCCTACCCCAGAATGGATTCCTCACCGGTCCTTCCCAACATTCTCTACTACCCCCGTGTCCTTGTTGCACGTCTCGTGAGGGATTATTCACCGGTACAGAGGAGAAAACAAGTACCCCTACCCTCCTCTCGGTTTGGGCTTGAACATACTACCCCCATATCATTGATCCAACTCACCCCTTCTTTTGACTCTCCCTGATCACTCCTTCGTAGGGTAGGGTAATGCACTAAAGGTGGGGTGATTATCACGTGTCAAAAGGGGGTACTAGCAACAGATACCCTACCTACCCGTATTTTCATCCATCATTGAGTAGGTGAGGTCATATGTACCGGTCTAATTTATAATGAAAAGCATGGTGGTGAAAAATTGAACCAGCAGGGTGGGTACTTAGGGTATCAAGAGTGGGGGTACTGAGGGTGTTGGAGATCAGTTGATTGACTTGCGACAATGGAGGTGCGGCAGGAGATTGGGAGCAGGGATGGACATCATGGGGAAGAGGAGGACAAGGAGGAAGAGAAGGGAAGAGAGGTGCCAAGACTAGGATATCAGCCATATGATCGAGATAATAGAATGAAGCAAGGTAATGAGCTGCATGGTTGGAAATCTTGGGAAATCAGCGAAGAGGAGAGGAGGAGAAAGGTGTTAAGGTTTCTCTGGGGAAGGGGAGGAGAGGCCTCAAGAAGAATTGGGAGGTTCGCACGCGAGATTGGACGACAAGGAATAGGAATTCGAATAATGGCAGGAGAGCGCGTCTTCAACAAGGGCGAGAGCAGCGATTCTTTCATGATCATCGCAAGCGGAAGGGTTCGTTTGACTGGTTCCCCACTGGGGCAAGAGACACTCGAGGGAGCGAATGCTCGGACATGCGGGGCGGGATCGTGCTTGAGCGAAGAGGTGCTCCTGGTGGGCAGAGGAGTGGATGGTTGCCACAGGAGGAAGGATACTGCAACAGTGCTGGACGACGAAGACTGCTACCTGGTGGAGTTTCCAGTCCGTGCAGTGCTGAGATGGTTCGAGAAAGAGCCTCCCATCCTCGACTATGTAAGCGAGTCCTCGATGTTCATGTCAGCAGGGCGTTCTAACAATGTCGGGGCAACAGATCCAAGAGCATGATCACAGGGACCGAGCCGCGCGTAAAATCCAGTCATACTACAGGGGCATCAGAGCGAGGAAGGAGAAGGTGAGCCGGGTGCCTGTCTCAACGTTACTCGTCTTGTCTCAACGTCATTCGTCTTGTCTCTCCGTCCTCATCTTGACTGCGTGCTGTCTCTCATGTCTGTCGCGTGCAGGCTCAGAGTCTCCTTGCTCAGCTTCAGCTGGCTGCCAGGAGGTCTGTAGATAGGTGGAAGAACCTGTCGCCCTATGCTAAGGTGCTCGATATCGCCAGCGTGCTTCCCCCTCTCCTTCTCACACTCTCCGGCTCTCCGGCTCTCCTGCTCTCCGGCTCTCCCTCTCTTCCTCTCTCCGGCTCTCCCTCACCCTTTCCGACTTCGTCTCCCCTCTCGCTCTCGCTCTCGCTCTCTCCCGCTCCCTCTCCCTTCCATCATCCTGCCCTTCGTCGTGCTAGCCCCTCTGTGCGTTCCTTGACCATACTTTCGCTAGGGTTACTTGTCTGTTGTAAGCGCCATGTCACAGCAAGGGGGGGCCATTGCTGTGTACGACAAGCGACTTGAGTCCTCGCACAAGATCATCGAGTTCGTGCGCCCTTGATACTTTTTCTCTTGTCTTATGACTTCACAGCACACCCGAATCGTCAGAGTCTCAGGACCCTAGTCAGCAAGACCCAGGACATGCGCAGGAAGAAGGCCAGGACGAGCCTGCGGCTAGCATCTTCATCCCCTTCAAGAGTCGCTCCTTTACCATCCTCGCCATCACGATTGACAAGTGTGTCGACCTGCCATATCGGACAGGAGGGAGCATAGGAGAAGAGGTGGACGCCTGCTGTACCATCCGCTACGCCGATGCGGCGCAGTACACAACCCAGACCGTCCCTCGTTCGGTGAACCCTCGCTTCATGCGAACCTTCTTCTTTGCTATCCAGGGAGGGGAGGAGGAGGAGCATAACTTCGAGATCGAGGTGTTCGACACCTTCAAGTCATCGGGCTCGTGGACAGCATGGTTCAGATCACGGAGGAAGATTGGAGCGACGAGCTGGGTCCACCGAGAAGACATCTCTCGACGCTGGTTGAGCATCAGCGGGCCGGCAGGAGGCAGCACGGCATCCAAAGTCTTGGTACGCTCGCAGATGTTCCATGTGGAAGGGGACAGGACACCGCAGGCGGACTGGTCGAGGAGGGAGAGGATTCGATATCATGTGCTGGAGGAGAAGAAAGCTCTGCGCAGGAAGAAAGTCTCGAAGATGATGCAGAGATGGATGCTGAATGTTGCCGACCCGCGTCCTACCACCACATTCCTCGTCCGGCTGATCGAGCGCTTCAGGGACCCGTGGAACCTCCTCCTCCTCCTCGCCTCCTCGTGCGCGATTTTCACCTCCTCCTTGTCTGTCTGTTTCCTTGTGGAGCGAACTCCCCACGACTGGCTCTTGCTCCTCAGCACAGCACAGGATCTTGTCCTCGTCCTCGACCTCTTCCTCAGAAGCGTCAGGTGCGATTCATGCTGCAAAACGGGGGTGCAGGAGGGGAGGACAAGCTTTCAGTGCTTGAGGCACTACCTGGGCCTTGAGATGCTCCTGTCCCACTACCGGCGATTCCTCATCAGCTTCCAGGAGGACACAAGAGGCTGGACCCAACTCTCCTTCCCGTCCTGCCCGGGGTCAACAGCTGGATGGTTCTGGATGGACTCCCTCACGAGTCTCCCAGCTGAGCTTCTGCTAAAGGTCTACGAGATGCCGACCGACCCCTACGATCGCCTCCACTTCAGCCCCTACCGGCTCCGCATCCGCCTCCTCCTCCGCATCGTCCAGCTCCTGAAGCTCCTCCGCGTCTTCCGGGTGCGCGAGCTGCTCAACGACCTGCAGGACCGGAGCTCCGCCTGGCGGCCGGCCGTCTCAGCTGGGAAGCTGCTGCTGTTCTCCTGCATGTGGCTGCACTCCCTGGCATGCATGTGGTTCTTTGCTGCCTCCCAGGCAGCCCGGGACCAGCTGGGGTCAAGCTCGTGCGACATGTCAACGCTGGAGAGCCGGGAGCCCTCGGTGCGCTTCTTGTGCTTCCTGCACTTCACGCTGAGGAGCATCGCTTTCTTGGGGTCCCCTGACCTCCCCGGGGAGCTCAGCTCCACCATCGTCTTCTCCTTCCTCGGGATGTCCATCGGCCTCACCCTCCTCCCCCTGCTCGTCCTCCGCGTCTCCGCCCTCTTCTTGCGAGCCCACGACCTGCGGCAGAGCAGCTTCGTGCGGGACAGCCATGAGATGCTGCGGTACCTGCGTGACAGGAAGGTCCCTCCGCTCCTCCTGTCCGACATCACCCGCAGCATCAAGACGCACTGGGAGCACAGCAGGGCACATGTCGAGCTCGCTCCTCTCCAGAGGCTTCCGCTGTGTCTCCAGGTAAGAGGAGCAGGAGCAGAAGCAGGAGCAGGAGCAGGAGCAGGAGCAGGAGCAGGAGCAGGAGGATGCCGTCTTTGACTCTCCATGCGCAGGTCCGAGTCTGCATGGCGGAGTTCCGCTCCCTCCTTGCTCATGTTCCCTTCCTGCGGCCCAGACTCGACGACGAGAGGTTGTGGGAGATGCTCCTGCAGGGGCTGAGGAAGGTGAGGAGGGAGAGGCTCTGCCGCAGTCTAGCGTCTCATGCCGAACAGGTCAACTTCTCTCGAGGAGAGTTTGTGCTGCGGGAAGGCGACGCGGTGGAAGGGATGTTCATCATACAGGAGGGAGCATGCGAGCTGCTGTCGGAGAGGGCCCGACGCTATGCTGCCCCGCCGTCATCGGGCGACGTCTCCTTTCTCGACCTTGGGTTCCCCTCCTCCTCCTCCTCTGTACTTTTTCCTCACCATCCCCTGCAGCTTTCACCTCCATCCGAGTGTCGTCGGGGAGGAGGGCGTGTGCGATCTTGAAACGATGAGACAGGATGCAGACAGTAACTTCCTGCTCCTGCTCCTGCTCCTGCTCCTGCTCCTGCTCCTGCTCCTGCTCCTGCTCCTGCTCCTGCTCCTGCTCCTGCTCCTGCTCCTCGCCCTCCATCTGACATCTCCTACTCCCCAGCGGAAAGAAACAAGCGGGAGCAAGGCAAGGTGGAAATTCCAGTACAAGGTCATCGTCCTCGAACTCCTCCCGCTCGCTCTCCCTCCCGCGCTACTCCTCCTCGGTCGCCTCGGTCGCCTCGGTCGCCTCGGTCGCCTCGGTCGCCTCGGTCGCCTCGGTCGCCTCAGAGTCGGGCTGGAGAGGAGAACGAGGATCACGGTCCTTACGTCTACGGAAGCTTCGAGGGGAGAGGACAATTCTTCGGGGCGATCGGCTTGTTGGACGGCAAGAGGAGACGCTCAGGTCCTCCGAATGTTTTCCCTGCCCTCCAGCTCCCATTCCACCTCTCCCCCCCAACTATCGTTTATCTACCCCATTCCTCCTCCTCCTCCTCCTCCTCCTCTCCTCCCTCTCCCTTTCTTCATACTCACACGTGCCTGATATCCCCAGCGAGCGTGCGTTCAGTCCAGAACTCAATTCTCCTGCATTTGACTCGTCAGGCGCTGACTTCAATCCTCGACTCCGATCCCTCCTTACGGGTCATCTACCTTGTACGACTACTTCTCCTCCTCCATTGCCTCCACTCCGTCCCCCCTCATGATTCAACACACAACCTCTGCCGTCCTCTATGCCTAACCTCCTCTCGATCTGTAGGAGCAGGAGCGCCGGGGCCTCCGATCGTGCGCGAGGGCGAGGTGGAAGATGGCATGGAGCAAGCACAAACCTGCCATCCTTGCTGAAGCTGCTACCCTCCCGGACCCTCCCGAGCCCTGGCCCGTCCCGGTAGCCCTTCCTTCCTTCCCTCCCTCCCCTCTGTCTGACCACTCGACTGTTGAGCTGAATGTCTTGCAGGTGAGCATGCTGCAGGGAGATTCGCAAGAGGACAATGGGGGAAGAGGAGGGAAGCAGCAGAGCGAGAGGACGGGAGCACAGGAAAAGCAGAGGGGACAAGGAGGAGGAGGAGGAGGAGGAGGAGGAGGAGGAGGATGGAGCGTTATGGAGATGGTCTAAGAATTAATTGAACATGTCTGTTTCTTATGATCTTCAACAGGATGTGATAAGTTACAACCTCCTTCAGCTCCTCCGTCCTCAATGCAGCGAGGCTCCCGCAAAGTCCCTCCACTGAGAGTCTGTCAAGGGCGAGCGAAGGGGCAGGAGGAGCTCAACGCACCTGATCGAAAAAGAGAGTGACCTCGTAGCTCGCTGCTTCCGAGCTCCCTGACACGTAGACCTTGCCAGCATGCTTCTCCTCCTGCCCAGCCGGTGAGAGGAAGAGCGGAGAGGAATGACCTTGTCTTGCTTGCACGATCCTCCTCTCTTGTCTCTCAACTCCTTCCCCTCCCCGACGCTCAGGCTCGACCTCCTGCTCCTCCTGCTCGTTTCTCTTCCTCTCATCTCACCTGGAGAACTTCGGCGATGTCTCCAGGGGCATCAGCCGACGCCACCTCTACCCCGACGCAGGGCTTGTTGACCAGCTCGTTGAGCTTCGCCGGCTCGCCGGACTTGAGCATCAGCTCCTTCGCCTGGGGTGACGTCACCTCCCCCTCCTGCCCAGCTGCCCCCCACCTTGCGCGCGTCAAGCTTCATCTGCTTTGTCTGCATGAGGACCTGCTTGCCCTCCATCTTGGCGAGGATAGCGCCTCCTTCTTCCACAGCAGACGGCATGATCAGCACAAACGCTCTCGCCATGCTGGCATAGTCCTGCTTGCGGTTGCCAGCGGTCAGGGGCACTACCTCCACGTCGCTGTGGGCCTTGTCCTCCTCCTCAGACACGAAGGACCCGAGGGAGGAGAGAGGCTTCAGCAGGTCGGTCGACTTGACGTCGAACGGAAGGAAGGACCAGTTGCCGTCCTTGGGCGTGAAGTCGTAGATTTCACTCCACTTGTTGTCGAAGACTGAAAGGTTCGAGGCGGTGAACTGGCGGGCGAGATCCGCGTAGAAGAACCGAAAGCAGCCGAAGCGCATGTTGACTGACTCCTCGACGACGGGGGCGGTGGAGGCGAAGAGCAGGGTGTCGCAATTCTTGCACTCTCTGGATCGGTACTGCTGGCATGCGAAGATACACTTGCAGTCCTCACAGTTGCGGATGAAGATCTAGAGGCAGACATCACACAACAACAACAACAACAACAACAACAACAACAACAACAACAACAACAACAATTATTTCAACAACAACAACAACAACATCAACAGTGATTCGTCTCTTACGCTGCTCTCTGTGGGCCCAACGAAGATTCTGCAGCCCTTGCAGTAGTCAATCTGCACCTGCTCGCACGTTCACGCTAATGACACACACTTCATCTTGTAACCTGCGCAAGATGATCGCACACGTAGATGTCACAGTCCTCGCAGTCTTCGATGATAAACATCTGGCCGTTGATGGTGCCAGGCACCTTGATGCACGTCTGCTCCCGGCAGTGAGGAGCAAGCAAGAGACTGATCAGGTTGCTACCTGTCCCTTCAGCTTGGAGAACATGTAATCCTTAGGATCAGGCCTCTTCTTCTTCGGCGGTGCCTTGGCAGCCGTGTCTTGCGCCTGAGCACTTGCATCCTCTACAGGCTTTTGGGGAGCCTCCGCAGGCTTTTTGGGAGCCTCTACAGGCTTCTCCTCCTCGACGGGTTTGTCCTCTACTTTTGCTTGTTTTGCTGCCTTGGTGTCGTCGACCTTGTACTGATCACTTCTGTCGCGCTTGTTTCCCTTGGCGCGAAAGTCAGCAAACAGCGGAGGATTCCAACGAGGAAAGATAGCAGGAAGTCAAGGTTGTGTATCAGAAAGGGTGGGAAGGAGAGGGGGACGGGGAGTAGTAGGGGACGGGAAGTAGGAGGAGAAGCAAGAGATGGAGGAGGAGGAGGAAGAGAGGAGGAGAGGAGGAGATCTGCGGTCTCAGCATGCCTGGAAGAGTCGAGCGAGGTAGGCGCCCATCACGATGCCACTGATCAGGAGGAGCGACCAAGCCCGCATTATGGGGAGAGAGCACAGGGGTATGTTCAAATGTTGAAATATTTTCGAATTTATGACGTCAATAATGAAATATTAATATCATTGTTTCATAATATTATAATTATTTGAGGTTGTTTGGTGAGCTAGGGGTAGGGTAGTCGAGATTCAAATTGAGGAGGGCAAAATATGAATGAAATTGATGAGAGATGGAGATGAGAGGAGAGGAGATGAGAGGGGAGGAGAGGAGAGGAGAGGAGAGGAGAGGAGAGGAGAGGAGAGGAGAGGAGAGGAGAGGAGAGGAGAGGAGAGGAGAGGAGAGGAGAGGAGAGCAGAGGAGAGGAGAGGAGAGCAGAGGCGATGAAAGATGAGATGAGGCAATAGAGGATGTCAAGAATATCAAACGAGATTCCAAAGCTGGTGAAGGAATGAACCTGACGCTCTCCCACCATACGACTCATTCTACCATGTTCATAGATAAGATTTATGTCAATTAGGGAATGTTTGGATAAGTTTTTTTTTATCTCAATCAGGAATGTTTTTGTTTCGTCGAGAAATTCTTGATGAGCAGAACGATATGAACCAGTTGGGAGGTAAGTTCAAGATCCACGGTGTGCGGAATGGAATAGATGTGAATGCTTGACGAAGATATGAGCTTGTGATCTAGAAACCAGCGCTTGCATTCTTGATTCGGTCAAGAATTTGTTGAATATCATAGCTACGTTGCTTGACTATTGCACTTGATCTTTTCTTGACCTCAACATGAGCTCTGGCAACCCAACATAATCAGCAATAAAATACTGCAGCAAGCAAGCAGCCCTCTACCAGCCAAGAGTTGAACTCCACAGTCATGCATGGTCTGACGAATCAGGTCAGATATGGCAGGCGGCTGAGATATGTAGACCCTCACCTGGCAGTGTTGTTGCATCGTACCGTTGAAGTGCTTCTTGGCCGGCTGGGACTCCCCGTCTCCCCATCGCTCGATCTTGGGAACGAACTCGGGGCTCTTCGGTCGGAAGATGCTTCCTGCAGGTGAACACGCGCGCCAATGTTGGAATGCTCCTAGAACACTTGACCTCCTCACCTGTCTTCGCCCATCGATCTCCAAACTCGAGCACGTAGAAGTTGTGCATACGACTTGCGTGAACTCGGTCAGGAGGACACGAGTCGCGTTCCAACAAAGAGTTTGAGAAGCAGCAACCTGAAAGGCCTTTCTCTGCTCCCCTCCTTCTGCTTCTGCCTCACCTGGAATCGACAGATTCACAATCAAGGCAGCAGGAGAGGAGCAGGAAGAGAAGGTGGAGAGGAAGGAGTCTTACCTTCCGCAGCTGTTTGAACCTCTCTTCGAACCTCTCTCCGTCGACCACAACAAAAGTTCTTCGCAAGAGCTTCAAGTCAGTACACAAGCAGTCGGCTCGAGCTGCCGGACCCAGATGATGAGTTCCACTGCAGCGACGTCCCTTCCTTCACGAGCTGCTCGACCACCTGCAACTGATTGTCAGTCCTCAGCTTCATCAAGGCTGACTTCACCTTTGGGAGCGGTAACCCCGAAGCTCTGCTGTCTTCCTGGACCTCCTGCTTCACGCTGGTCTCAAGCTTGTCTTCGCCCTCTTCGAGGATGCACTCTTCGTAGGCTGCGGGCAAACATGCCTTCTGAAGTAGTGCAGACGAGGAGAGATGGAGTGCACCTAGCAAGGGTCAAGATAAATTCTTTACGACGCATCAAATCGCTCACCACGGTCTTCGTTCTTGTGGGCTTCTGAGTTCCCTTCCCGCATACTGATCGACGAGACCTTCCAGCCCTCGAGCTCGATTGCGTCCAACCAGTGCACGTGTAGGATGTTCCACAGGTCCAACAAGTCTAGGCGTGGAGAGTGGGAGAGGTTGAAGCGTCTGGACAACACAAACGTGAGCCACTTGACATTGCGATCACCGATATTACAAGATGCTGACAACAATCGGCGACTGAATCTGCTTCCTCTCGATCTCGATTTCTTTCTCCAGGAATCGCTTCAGACACTGTGTCGTCGTGGAGGAAAGGAGGTCGAGGGTTCGAGCATCCACAGGCCCGAAGAAGAGCAGCTCGAGGAGGGAAGGAGGCGAACGAAGCAGCACTCTCAGCGCCGCATGCGGCATGACGTCTTCTCTACACCGCGAGCTCCTTGCTCCCGCACTGCATGGCGTGAAGATGCGTATAAGGTGTATCGCGAGACATCACGCCATTTCTACAAGTCTAGGATGGGTTCGATTGAAAGGGGTAGGGGTATTCAAAGAAGGGGTATCTCATAATTGTTATTGGATCATACCACTCATGGCACCTATTATACCCTCATTTTGATACTGATTTTAAGGGGTGAAGGAATATAATGTACCGGTACTAATTTCAAAAATCATGATGACCTCCGTAGGGGTAGAGAAATGCGGGGTAGGGGTACCCCTTAAGGGTCCCTCTAGTTGCGGGAGGCAAGTTTGTTGCGTGATAACAGATAAATATCCTAATAAGATATATTGTTCTGTAGCTCACCAAATAATATGTAAATATCTTATATAAGAGATAATCAGTTTATTTAAAGTTCTGATTTTCCAATTAACACAATTATGTGCTGCCTACTAGGAAAATTATGTACTAATAGTAAATATATTGTCTATATCGAATGAAAATGTCTTGATCTAAATACAATATTGATTAGATTTATTGCTTATTTACGCATCAGTCGCATTGCCATGCGGCCGCTGGGAGGCTTATGGCGGCGGGAGGGTTGGAAGAGAGAGAGGAGGAGGGAGCAGCAGGACCTTCGAGGATAGAAGCTACGAGAAACATACTGGCATGACATGATGATATGAAGAAGCGAAGGCTATGAACAGCCATTTCATCGAGGAGGGAAGCAGAATGCTGTCAAGGGGCTGAAGGCTGGTGGCCGCGGGGCTCAGAAAGAGATGATGCCTTGAGTAGAGATGGAGGGGTTGGAGCGGCTCGAAGGGCTCACTGAACTAGGTGGCCCCTCCTTGTTCGAGGTCGTTGGCGCCGACAGGCTTGCGGCAGCTGCTGCGGCGGCGCTGGATCATGTGCTGAGAGTGTGGGGCATCAGAGCGTCAAGAAGGTTCTGGTGGGTGAGGAGCTACCGAGAAGAAGTTATCGGGATCGCTCGGCTGCTCCTAGAACGACAGAGCATGGAAGGGCGGAATGCTTCTGCTGGGGAAGGGTTCTTCGGACTCATCCGCGAGGCGGCGGCTGGGGGGGTACCGAGTGCGAGACAGAAGCGGCTCTCGCTCATTTTCCTTGTCGCCATGCCATACGTGCAGGCCAAGATCGACAGCCTCATTCGTCGTCCTGAAGACGAGGAGCTGGAGGCAGCGCCATTGCCTTCGGGCAACTTCGAACCGCCTGTAGAAGGCAGGTTGTGGGCGCAGGCGCTGGGGCAGCCGGCGGGTACTGGAAGCCGAGAGCTGCGAAGGTCTTTTTGACTCGTAGCAGCAGGAAGTGTCTGGAGGCCTCCAGCCTCCCTTGCATGGACTTGGCTGGATTGGGCGAGAGCAGTATGGCCGTGGGTGCAGGCTCTGAAGGAAGGATGGGTATGATGCTTTAACAGGATTGGCTAGCAGCTTCATGACTTGAACTGAAGGTGCTGGCGTACCAGATTGGATACCTCTTCAGCAAGACTCCGTTCAGCAGGTCAAAATGCTTCAGCTGTCAGTAGACATGAACAGCTTCGCAGCCCTTGGCTTCACCTCCTTGGCTTGAAACTCCGGCGAATGACTTCAGAAGATTTCATAAGGCTCGAGCAAGTGATTGCCTCGCAATGCTCCTTATGCAGTCTAATCATTGAGTGTACAGATGCTGAGAAGTGCTAGAGCAGCTCAGTTTGCGTGGGCAGACAAGCATGCAATGTCTCGATACTGAATCCATCTCTGACGTCTCATTGACGCCTTAGCAGGCCCATTCGCCTTGTGCTCCGGGCGCTTTTCAAGTTTTGGCACTTTGCCAACGACAACTTCAAGGCAAGCAGGCTCAAGGGAGGGAGGATGTGAACTGACATGCTTCCAGCTTCTGCTTCTCTTCCTTGCATTCGTTGTAAAGCTGGCAGACTGGTGGTACACCAACGAGGAGGTCCGGGACGAGGTTGCGACTCGCCTTTCAATCGTACTCCTGTAACTGGAAGCTGAGCGCAGACCGCGTACATTCCTCCTCCTCCTGTTCGACCTCCTCCTGCTGAAGATGGGCTCAAACTGCTGAGCAGCCGGGAGCATTGTACCATCTGCAATCAAGTTCGCAGGAATCCTGCAGCTTCGACCTCGGTGATCTTGGATCCTCACAGGAAAGTGGTGCTGATGAGGTTTGATAGGGCTACGTTTTCTGCTATCCTTGCATTTTCAAGTATGCTGAAGTGAGTGATCATGAAGTTTGCTGCCCCCATCCCCGCGCGCGCTGACCGCAAAGCAGGAGCACGGATGCTGTCCGATAACTCGGCTTCCTTGCTCAGTGCAAGAGATCCGGCGGCTCTATGAATCAGCATGAAGGGAAGAGCAGGACAACGAGTGAGTGTGACATTCTTGTACTGAGAGTCTCGTCTGGCAATTATACAAGTAGAGTTGAAACATAGGAACGACTCGATGACCTCCCGTGCTGCCACGAGAGGTGGGGCGGCGAAAGAATACAAGGCTCTGATGGCAGTCTTGCTCCATCATTCGTCACATCTCTGAAGGATCTTCAACATGCCGTCATGAAGGGACCCACTTCATCGACAGGCAGTTGCTCATCTACAGTCATAGTCAACCCCAACCAGATCAGAAAGGCAACAGCATGCACCTCGTCGTAGGAAAACCCGTCTTCTGGAACCGTCCAGTTCTCCTGCTTCAGCGCCTCTGTCCATTGATTCTTCACCTTCTCCAGTCGCCTGCCAGCCCTTGAGTGACAAGGAAAGATATCAAATGTGCCTCACTCTCTCGACGAGATGTACTGGCCGAGCTTCGAGGAGGTCATCCTGACGGCGACCAGCGCCCTCAGCTCTGAGATATCTACACTTGTTGCTCCCTCAATCTTCACATGCCGAGCAAGGATGCGAGCAACAGCCCCGCCCCTTCCAAAGTTCGTCAGTTGAAACTCCACAAATACGCTGTGTGACTTCACCCTGTACCGTCGGCATCTCCCATGAGCACTCCCCCTCGCCCGTATCGTAGGTCATAGTCCTGCAGGAATTCTATCTCCACCTGAAAGGCAGGTCAACTCCACCATCAGGCTCTGGGTGCTCTACCTCGCCATCCGGAAACTTCTGCGTGATTGTCAAACCTCGCGGGACGATGAGGTCTTGCGGTTCTCGTGACGCTGTGAAGGTCAGGTCGGACGTTCGGATGGACCAGGCATCTTCACTCCCCCGGTCAGTTCGCTTGTCGCTATGAAGCTTCTCCGCATCCCGTATAATCGAGTTGTCAAGTTCTATCCCATCCTGTGTGGCATCCGCAAACATCATTGAGTTGTATTGCTTGCTCGGGAGAAGGCTGTCGTTTGCTAGGGGGCCCTGCGAGGACCCGACGGGGGTGAAAGCTTGCTGATGACTTGAAGCATAACTGAAAGGGGCATTCCCTCTTGCATTGGGAGTGCTGTTTACGTTGTTGGACGCCGAATCCTCAGGCGCAAAACTTGATGGGTTGCGCATACCATCCGATATCTGTACATTATCTCGAGTGCTGGCTTGCAGGTTGTCATTTTCCTTTCCGACAGCCGGCGACTCGGACTGGAAGAGCTGTTTCTCGACGTTGCTGGATTCTTTGCGCTCCAGCATCTCACTAAATTTGGTACTCCATGAGCCCGCCGACGGTCTCAGCCTCAGACTTGGTGTGGATGACGAGATTAGCCCTGGACTTGGGGAGGCCTTTGCAGGCCGGATCTGACCAGAGGGCACAGGGCCACTCAGGCTCAAACTTCCATCGATCCGCGTCGGCCGGATGCTCGTCTTGCCGCGAGATGCTGAGTTCGACCCAGCAGCTCTAGCCCTGAAGGTTCCTCCAAGGCCAGCGTGAGGTGGCTGCGAAAATGATGAACGCAACGGTGAGTTGTTGCCTGTATCACTCGAAATCTGAGCATGAGGGTCGGACGAGAAGAGACGAGGAGCTGTTTCCGAGTTTGAAGGCCTCAACTTCAGATTCCCGTATGGATTACTTTGTACATCTGCCATCCAACTCGTATTTGCTGCTTGAGTTTGCGGCAGCACAACCTGGACAGGAGGAGCCTGGGCCACTTGCATGGTCGGCTGCGCACCAAAGGGGCTTGCTGGTTGACCAAACATGGATCCACCAGTGGCGGCCCCGAAGCCTCCGAAGCCTGACGATGTTGCCGGTGCTCCAAACCCCCCTCCCGTCGAGGCTCCAAAGGGAGAGCTCCCGAATGGCGTTGCCTGCGTCTGCCCGAACCCACCGAACCCTGTCGCTGGCTTTGCTGCTGCTCCAAACGCTCCTCCTGTAGACGCCCCAAACCCCCCAAACCCTCCCCCAGTCGACGCGCCAAAAGGTGACGAGGTAGCAGGGCTGCCAAACGCGCCTCCTGTTGAGGCTCCAAAGAGGGAGCCTGATTGTGATTGTCCGAAACCACCGCCGAAGGGTGCAGCTGGCTTGGCACCGAAGGGATTTGCCGCCCCTGTGGAAGCTCCGAAGCCTCCGAAGCCTGACGATGTTGCCGGTGCTCCAAACCCCCCTCCCGTCGAGGCTCCAAAGGGAGAGCTCCCGAATGGCGTTGCCTGCGTCTGCCCGAACCCACCGAACCCTGTCGCTGGCTTTGCTGCTGCTCCAAACGCTCCTCCTGTAGATGCCCCAAACCCCCCAAACCCTCCCCCAGTCGACGCGCCAAAAGGTGACGAGGTAGCAGGGCTGCCAAACGCGCCTCCTGTTGAGGCTCCAAAGAGGGAGCCTGATTGTGATTGTCCGAAACCACCGCCGAAGGGTGCAGCTGGCTTGGCACCGAAGGGATTTGCCGCCCCTGTGGAAGCTCCGAAGCCACCAAATGCTGATCCCGTTGCAGCACCAAAACCACCACCACCGAATGCTGGAGCACTCTGCGTCTGCCCAAACCCACCGAAAGCAGCTCCAGTGTTGCCAAAGGGAGTGGATCCGAACGCTGGCGTCGCTTGAGTTTGGCCGAATGGATTCTGTTGCTGAGCAGCTCCGAAGGTGGAAGTGGCTCCAAACGTCCCCCCTGCGGCGTTGTCTTTCTTCTTGCGGTTCATCATGTAGTCGCCGACACGCAACTCTTCAAAAGAATAATTGGCATATGTGTTCATATGGGTGATAGACATGTAGTTTCCCTGAGTGCTTGCCGATGCTGTTCCGGTACCATCCGGCCCTTTGGTCGCTTCGTAAGGCTGCACAGAAGTGTTCGGAGTTCCTGGCGGTGCTGCCTGCTGGGCCGTGTTCCCAAACCCTCCAAACCCTGGGGCAGCACCACTGGAGACTCCAAAGGCTGAAGACGATGCTCCGAATGTTGGGGCAACCCCGGTGTTCGCTCCGAATCCTCCGCCACCAAAGAAAGAGCCTCCAGTCTGTGCAGGTGCAGTCTGGCCAAAGCCGAAGCCAGCTTGCGATGGTTGACCGAAGGGGTTCGAAGGATTCGCCGCAGGAGCGCCTGTCAAAGGATCCAAGTCAAGAGGTCGGACAAGGAGAGTGGCACATTCTTTCATCCTTACCGAAAGGCGATGATGTTTGTCCGAAGCCAAACCCTGCCGGTTGTGCTGGGTTGGCGCCGAAAGCGCTGCCAGTGCTACCAAAGGAAGAGAATCCTCCAGTGGAGGGATTCCCACCAAAGGCAGGAGCCGCTGCTTGCGCGCCGAAGGCAGAGGTTGTCTGACCAAAACCAAAGGCAGGGGCAGCGGCTGGGGCGCCAAACGCTGATGCCTGCGGTTGTCCGAAGCCTCCAAATGCAGGCTGTTGCTGCTGAGCCGGCTGCTGTCCGAAAGCTCCTCCTCCAAAAGCACTTCCCATGGTCGACTGAGCATTTTGGCCAAAGGCGCCGCCGCCGCCTCCAAAAAAGCTCATCGTGGATAAACCTTCCAATTCGATGTCAGAACATACTAGGATGAAATCACGCGAAAATTATTCAATTCACATTCATGAGGTTTACTTGCTGTCTCAGCAGCGCAGGCAGAAAGAACTAGCAGCCCACGATCGCTACTAGACTATCCAATCCCATCATTCCCCATTGGATCCTTACTCCACCTCCCCATGCTTCTCCAGCTGAGCTCCGTTTCGTCTATCCTACCCGCAGATCTCACTGACTCACTCACTCTGTTCTTAGTTCTGCACATTCCTTCCCCCCGACCATGCATTTGTTCGCCTCCCTCCCCTCCTCCCCATCCCTTCCCCTGTTCCCAGCCATTTATTTCACGCGCGGCAGAATTCACCCAAATCCCCTCTACTACCCCCACCCTACCTTGATCTCGCACTACCCCTGTAGTTTCTTACTCACCCTGTGTATTCTATCTATACCCCTCCTTTTTACTTATAATACCCCACTTATCTTGGGAAGAATTCCCACAAAAAGTCTCAAATAGTTATTCACAGTACCCCCTACCCATCAATTCACAACCACTACCCATGCCATTTCACCAAGCTTGGGGGGTCATCAAGTGAAAGAATCGCCGGACAGCAGCAACATTCCCCGGACTACTCAGTGACCGGCCCGGGGGCACCGGCCTGGGCCGGGAGGGTTTAGATTAGCTTTTAGGTTTAGATTGGCCGACGGAAATAGAAGGAAAATGATGGCGGACTCGGAAGTAGTTGTGGTGAGGAAGAAGACGAACAGGTGAGCATTGCGATGGAGATGGAGATGGAGATGGAGATGGAGATGGAGATGGAGATGATGATGATGATGATGATGATGATGAGGAGGAGGAGGATTATGTCGATCTTGATTATTGTGATATTGCTATGATATTATTGATGATGGGGAGAATGATGATAAGGATGACGATGATGGAATTGGAGTTGGAAATGGAAACAGGCATTAATAGAAAGAAAATTTTAAACGATCGATACTACGATGCTGGAAATGATGTTGCGACTGATAATCATGCAAATGATAAGTACAATGATGGTGCCTTCAATGTTGGTCATGATTGTATTGGTGATCGTGGGGGATGATGACCATGAAAGGATGTGGAGATTTTGACGAAAACTTGTACCTCACAGGAGGAGAGTGATGGCTGCGGGATGTTCGGGGCTCTTGATGTTGGCAGTTGTCGTGGTTGCGACACGGGGCACCAAGGATACCATACTTGCATCCACAGTGAGCAAGGGATACGGGGAGTGGTGCAACGGCTGCGGACCGCTTCCCCTTGCGGGAGTTGTCTCCCGCAACGCACACAGGATAGCGGCTAACAGCGACGCTATGCGCGCTCTCTACCAGTCTGCCAACTCAGGACTGACAGCAGCGAACAAGCAGCTGCTCCGTCTAGAGCAGACGGTGGAGCAGACGGAGGAAGGGCTGGCGTCAGGGCTTGCGCACTATCAGGCTGTTCCTGGCTATGGCGGAATCTACGCGCCTGTGCCCTCCTATACTGCTCCCTATGCGTCTCCCTATGCGTCTCCCTACGCTTCTCCCTACGTCTCTTCTTTTGCTAGCCCGGTGGTAGCAGCTGGACCTGCTGTTGGAGCAGCTGTGGTGACTGCTGGGCCGCATCGAGTGCCAGGAGGATGGCTTCCCGTCTATGATCAACCGGCTGTGTCAAGAGTCCCCGTCCCTGCTGGCCCGGTCGCTCCGCCTTTCGCTCCGCCTGGCTACCAAGCTGTCTTCGTGCCTGGCGGGATGGGAGAAGGAAGTGCTGCTGCTCCTGCTGCCGACATCTCCCTCCCTCCACCTCCAGAAGAGGAGGCGGAAGAGGCGGAGGACACGGCAGCGCCAGCGAGTGAGGGATCGGATGAAGACGATTCAGCTGTTAAGCCGCTCATCCCCTTCAACTTGCCGGAGGAGGCGACACAGGTGGCTGAGAGCGCGGCCAGCCAACCGGAGGCGCCGCAGCCGGCAAACATCAGGGCGCGTGCGATGGAGCACGTCATGCAAAAAGCGGCGAAATCCCTTGGTCCCGTTGTTGCGGCTGCAGCTAGTCCAGGAGGAGGAGCAAGGGGAGGAGCGAAGGCTCCTTCTACTCAAGTTGCTGCTGCTGCTGCTGCTAGAGGGGGAGGACAGCGAGCGGCTCTTTTCGTGAACCAAGTTCGGTCGCACTTCATGGCCAACCAGCGAGACGATGGAGAGATGCTGTGAAGTGCTCGCAAACTATTCTCTCCTCACTGCGCAGTCAGATTGTAGAATTTTAACTTCCTGCATGTACAAAAATGAAACGATCGAGGTAACCGCTTCCTCTCGTTCCCTCCCCACCCCCCCCCGACCTGCTCACAGGCTCTGAGCATAAGAAACGAGAAACTCGGCGAACTCGTGCAGCAACTCGTCGCTCCTGACATGTGCTGACGTCACTCGACATCCTGCGGCAGCTCGCCCTTCACCTCTCCTTGCTCGGCACCTCGTTGAGCATCGTGTGGGCCTCCATGAGCTTGTCATCCTCCTCGTTGGCCTGCAGCAGTTGTCAGGCCTCCTCCTCCTCCTCCTCTTCCCTGTTGCTCAGCACCTTCTCCAGCAGGCAGGATGCTTGCTGTCGCGTCAGGATGCCCTGCAAGAGGAGGGAAGCTGTCAGTGTCCTCGAATGTGATCACTGCCGCTCGCTCGTAGTGTAACTCGGGCCTCACCTGAGCCTCGAGGGCCCAGAGGAGGTCGAAGAGGTCTCGTTCTCCCTCCACCGCACCTGCTCGGAAGGAACTGAGGTCTTTCACGTCACTTTCCTGTTCCTCCCCTTCATCTGGCCCTGTCAAGAGCGGCCTGCGAAGGTTCCCTCCTGGCTCAGCCTCTGCTGAAGGCACCAACTCCCGCCGCCCTTCCCCGTCCGGATCCCCGAAGACGTCGGGCCCGGTCTCTCGGCCGTCGTTCTCGTACGTCACCATGAGCATGGTCCCGTTGGTCAACGTCATCGGCGGTTCTCTCAGCTCGAGCTGCTGGATCGAAGCGTTGAGCGTCGAGGTGAGCCTCCCTCCTGAGATCGGAGAGATCTCGCTGATCATACACGACATTCTGAGTTTGCGCCCGGGACGGGAGATCACTGCAAACCTGCTGGAGTCGGAGCTGGAGGAATCTTGGTCGTAGTCATCCAGGGGAGGTTGATAGACCTGCCGGGGTCTATCCTGCCTACTCCTGCTGCTCCTCTCCTCCTTGTCGGGCTTGTCAAGCATGCAAGGTCGAGGAGGCAACCACCTTCGTCGGAGGTCCTTCAATCATCTTCATCCGCCCCAGCAGTCGCCGAGCTGCCGCCTGAAGAATCTGCGTCACACGAGGGCAGCACTAGGAGGAGGAGGCGGAGCGGCAGGGGCAGATGAAGGCATGACCCTCGTCCCACCTGCTGCCACTGGAAGAAGGAAAGCTTCTTTGCGCTGGCTTCCCTGCGAGGGGAGAGATTTCAACTTGAGGAGGACAGCACGCGGGTACGAAACCGGTCTGACAGTCCCCGACTGATAGAATCTTTCTGACCTCTGTTGCTGATGACCTGAGGATGGGAGAAGATGGTGAGGGAAGGGAGGGAGTAGAGCGATGAGCTCAACTTGTAGCTGGTTGTGACTGTTTGATGCGATCCAATCTCTTGCTGACGTTGATCGTCTTGCCACCTGATGCTCGAAAGCATCTCCTAGGTGATCCTGGAAATATTGCTGATGTCCTGAATCCTATCAACCAAGTCAAGATTTCAAGCATGAATTCAAAATTCTTGGTGTTGGTGGTGATGGTGATGATTGTCAGACCAAACATTCGAAGTTGTGAAGAGTAAAATCTGCTCACATTCTTCTCGATGGGAGTCAAGTCTTCGTCGCTGATTTCGGAATCATCTTCCTCCTACATCCATCCATCAGGCAAAGGGAGGATATGCGACATTTAGACCCTTTACCGGAATAAGGACAGACCCTGCTTGTCGCCATGCACAACAACACGACCAACATCCCCAAGTTAAAAAAATTTCAAGGGGTTGTGAGCTTGTTCCAACACACCTCTGAGGTCGTCGAAGAACTGAACATCTCCGGCATAATCAAGATCAAGGATGTGAATGTCGTCCATCGGTCTGGGAAAACAAACTCGTCGTCACGTTTACATCTCAATGTTGTACTTGCCAACCTGTTTCGATCGTTCATACCGCCAAAGATGATAATGTGCTGGTTGCCAACAGCACAAGCTGCAAAGTTGCTAGTGTAAGAAACGCCAAGAGGAAGAGTCTCAGCGAACGCGTTTTCCTTTCCCACATCACTCCAGCCATCGCTCATTTCAAGGCACCTGAATGTCCCTGCCTCTTCTCCGGAGCCTCGCCCAGCGGCTCTTGCGTACAGGCGATCCATTCGTCGTTGCAGACGGTGAGTTTGGGCATCAGCGAGTTGCTAGAGAGGCTGGGGGAGTCAGAACATCTTTCCTGGGAGAGGTCATGGCACGTATCTCATACTTTGAAGGTTCTCTCATTCTCCAACGGTGTGAAGGCTTCTCTTTGACCTCCCTCTCTCCGTCCTCTTGCAGGCTCTTGGCTAGGAGGACTCGGTCGTTCTTGTCGAAGAGGAAGTCCTGCAGTGTAGCTCAGCAGCCTCACCCCTGTGTGCACTGGAACCTACATCTCTCGCTAGCGCTTCTAACGTCTGCAGCCTCTTCATCTTGTTGGACTCCTTCGTCTCAACGAATCCAACGTGCTTCTGCAGGTCCTCTCCGAGTTTCGCTACACACACAGTCAGCCGCCATGCCGTCTGCTGCAACGCCCTCGTCGCTCCTCTGACCTCTCCTCATGAAACTCTGCGCATACGATTCTGTCCTCGCATTCATGGCGGAGGAGTGGGCCTTCAGGACATTGTTCGACGAGGAGGAGTGCAACGTGGTTGAGATGCGGTGCTCTGAGGTGTGGAGGGGGCGGAGGAAAGCAGGTTGAATGCTCATGACTGCGAAGGGAAGTCAGGTAGGGGAAACAAGGCAAAGGAAAGACGACGAGGAATGAAATGACTAGGAAGGAGAGGAGCGTGCCAATGACCTTGATTTGAACATCTTCGTCCTCTTCTCCCGCCGACCAGAACGACAATGTCACCCGAGCTCTCCTTGCTGTCAACACCATGAATGAATAAAAACGAGGGGGAAGATGAAAGAAAGACAAAGAGAAAAGAACTGGAGAAGTTGAGAAGAGAGACCATAGACAGAAAAGGAAAGGGAAGTTTGTTGGATCAAATGAGGGATGAGCTCCAAAATTTGACAATAAGAAAGTAGGAGCAAGGAGCAGAAGGAGGACTAAACACTGAGAGTAGAAAGTTGCGAAGAAGAGTCCATATTCTCACCGTGGCATGGCGCAGGCTGTGTGGTTAGCAAGTCCTGGACTTTTTAGCTGCAGCATCTCCGCCACCGCAGGGAACTGAAGGTCTTTGAGCAAGAGGTGGTTGTTGTTGTTGTTGTTGTTGTTGTTGTTGTTGTTGTTGTTGTTGTTGTTGTTGTTGTTGTTGTTGTTGTTGTTGTTGTTGTTGTTGTTGTAGGAGGAGGAGGTGGTGGAGGAGGAGGAGGAGACATCGATCCTGGGATTGGAGAGGAGGAGGGAGAGGAGAGTCACAATTAGCTCACCGATCTCGAGGACGACATGTCCGAGGTCATCCCAGCTGGCAGAGGGTTGAGGCCCATAGATGACGCTGGCAGTTGGGTCCCTGCTGGGATGTCAGAAAGTTTGCGGGCTGTTGGGGTCTACCTCGTATCCTGTGCCAACCCCAGGAGTTGCCCAGCTCCAACACCCACACCTGCAGCAGGGGATGAGGAGGTCGTAGGGGCAGAGAGGTCGACCTCGGTGAGGAGAGCATGAGAGCGACTGTCGATGCCTCCCGCGACGATGAGCAGGTTGTAAGTTCCAAGGGTGATCTGCCAACAGGATCCAGTGACACACAGCCCATGTCATCAAGATCAAGTTGATCTCCGGCCGTGGGGTGGAGGTGGAGGGGAAGGGAGAAACGACGCACCTTCGTTGCCGAGTGCGAGTACCTTGGAGCAGGAGGCTGTCCGCTCGTGCGGGGCTCAGCACATCTGCATTCTGTCATCTGGCATCGGTGCGGGAGGGAGGAGGTACGAGTGATCGTCCAAGTCCAGGAGAAAGAGCTGACAAGCCGACGACGGGGATTGAGTGCTGGGGAAGTCGCCACGTCAGAGACTGACGACCATTCACTCGGGGGATAGGACACACCCAAGACTCTCCAAGTCCATCCGATGGTTTTGAACTCCTGGACAGCAGCATGTGAGTTTCTCGTGCAAGTCAACGAGGGAAGGATCGTCAGGTCCACACACCGCCGAAGATGATGACTTTGTTCCACTGTGTCTTGCTCGTGCTGTGAAAGCCTCGTTCGGAGACTATTGGACCTGCCCTTGCAGCTCTTCCCGCAAGTCGGAAGATGCTCCACTTCCAAGTCTGAGGATGGAGAGAGTGAGAGAGGAGGGCTAGACATTGTGCAACCTTCACGCTCAGCACGAAGAGGCTGTCTCGGCAAGCTACTTTGTTGGCGTCCAGTCCACCGAGGAGGAGGATCTCCTGCCTTGAGGGCGTGTAGGTGAGCGAGTGCCCATATCGACCGCTCGGGATGGTTCCCTGCACAGCAACCTTCCTCCACCTGGTCGGACGTCACATGGCAACAAGAGCATCGAGGTCCCTCCCAACCTGTCTCTCTCAAGGTCGTACTCCCATGTGCAGCACAGCAGCTTTGAACCCGTCCAACCGCCGAAGACAATCATGTACCGATTGTCGACCACGCAGGCTGCATGGTATGCTCGAGCCTGAGGGAGCATGAAAGAGAAGGTAAGTTCATCGGGTACAGGGCAGATTCTATATTGACAGTTGGCAACTAGAGGACTATGGGATGAAAAAGAAACGATACAGAAGAAAGGAACAGAGATGGATTACACACGATCGAGCAGAAGTTTGATCGAAAAACAATTAAGAAGTAAAACTCGCAAGAAGAGGAATCGTCAAGTGCGGTGATGGACGGAGGGAAGTTGGTGGATGGTCGAGAGGATGAGAGAGGAGGAGAGAGGAGGAGAGAGGACATGCTGCTTGTTTCAGCACCAGAGGCTTCGCCGTCGTCTCCCTGCATGCCGGTAGCGTCCATGCGACCCGACGAGCTCGACTGGCCATAGCGGCGTCAAACTACCAGTTAGTTAGGATTCTGAAGGTAGGGGGTCAATTTTAGTGGGTGGGGGTAGTTTTATTGAGTTCCCATTGATAGTGATTTGATGTTTTGGTGGGGTGGGGTACACAAAAATTGTGGGTAGGGGTGATATCAATGGAATGGTGGTGGGTCATTATTTGATTTTGAACTTGGGTGAGATCCAGTGGTCATGTAGACTCGTGCTTGACTGATGGAGGACGTGAGGAGAGGAGAGGAGAAGAAGAGGAGAGGAGAGGAGAGGAGAGGAAGGGAGGCGAGAGATAGGATGAAGAGATGAGGAGAGGAGAGGAGAGGAGAGGAAGGGAGGCGAGAGATAGGATGAAGAGATGAGGAGGAGATGAGAAGGGTTCAACTTTGCACTGGAGTCTGGTAGTTTAAGGTACATCTATTCACATAAAACACGATGCGAGCAAGCCCGCTGCCTTCACAGCTCTAGTCTGCAGAGATGAAGATTGCAGCTCCACACAGAATCCATCGATCCTGCTCATTCACCTTGCACGACATCCTCAGTCGCATCAGGAACTTCGATCGATCCGTTCGCTCGTACACCGGCAGCTCAACCATGGACGTGCTCGAGGAATCGTCCTCCCGCGAGGGGATGAAGGCGATGGTGCAGGAGGGGAGGGGGACGACGGAGGGAGTGTCGAACTTCGCCTCTGCCAAGTACCCGCCGGAGAAGAGCGCGCCCTGCAGCACGAGGCCTTGCAGGACGCACGTCACGGAACCGAGCTGGCTCCTGGAGCCCTCCCCCCAGACACACGCCAAGGTGAGCTCGTCAACAGCCACCTTCGTCATCCTTGCCGTCTGAGCTCATGGGGAGAGGAGCAGAGGCGAGGAAGGAGGAGAGGGGAAGAGACGTACAGGGTAGGAGGAGCAGGAAAGGGATGAGATGAAGATGACAGCCATCAAAGTTAGGGAGAAGGAGGGAGCGAAATCGTCAGGCGATCAGCAGCATGAGGAAGAGACTTTCCCACCTGCTGCCGGAGGGCGTTGAGGAAGATCTGAGGGTTGAGGAGCCACGAGGGTGAGATGGGGGCCGAGAGGGAGTTGCCGGACTTCTGGAGTTCCAGCCAAGAGTCTATCGCCAACTTCTTCTTCACCACCGCCTGCTCAGCTCCAACGTCATGCCAGCTGCCACTCGCTCCTCTCCTCGACTCACCTCCAGCCACAGCGCTAGCGTCTCTGGACCCTCCCACTGGTCTGACCACTCGTCCAAGACTGTCCCGCTCGCCAAGCACGTGGCCGCGGACTGGACGGAGGTGGTGAGGAGGTCGACGCCCTTGAGGACTCGGCTGACGGCCTCGATCGTGACGTGGACCAGGCGGACCAACTTGTGCGCGTCCTGGGCCTCCATGACGATGAAGCTGTCGACAGGAAGAGACGCGTCATCGCTTCCCTTGGGCGCCTTGAGCACCTTTGGATTGTTGACAAGGTTCTGCCAGAGGCTGATGACAGGCTTCAGCTGCGCCGACATCCGCTCGCGATCCCAGCCAGCGAGCTTGACGTCTGCTGTCTCCATCGTCTTGAGCTGGTTGGCGATCTTAGCGCTGTTGGTTTGCTGCAGCACCCTCTCGATGTTGGGGGGCAGGCCCAGGAGCGAAGGTGCATCCACTTCCGGCAGCTGCTCAGCCAGGAAATTCAGCAAGGGAAGATAGAAGAGGAGGGAAAGAGGGCACATAGAAGGAGGGGGTGCGGGGAAGGAGGAAAGATAGGAGGAGGGGGTGAGTGGAAGGGGGGGGGGGGAAGGACAGTAAGATAGAAGGACCGAACCGAGGGGGGAAGGTTGAACAACCTGCTTGATGACGCTGAGAAAGTCAGAGTGAGACGTGCTGTTGGGTACTAGGATGCCCTTGGTGTTGGGCAGAGGCCTTGCCTGCGACCCTCCGATGTGAATGTTGTCGGAGCGGAAGTACATTTTGAGACAAGCTCGGAGGATGCGCTGATCGTAGATGTTGTCAATCCTCCCCCCGTAGATCGCGTTGTCCAGCAGACCATGGAGGGTCTCCCACTTCGGGTTGTCTGCGGGGAGGAAGCGGTCAGATGGGACGAGGGAGCTGACGTTTCTCAGACCCGAAGTGAAGGTGGTCGAGATGATCTCAGCCGTGCTCCTCAGATCTGCGTAGCTGAACTCGTGGAACTTGGTCCAGCCCTGAGGGAGGTACGTCCTGCGCTCCTGCACGATGGCATGGAACCAGGCAAGGACGAAGAGGAGCTGGCTCCTCCCCTGGTTCATCTTCGACACGAACTCTGGAGTCCACAGCGAGTACGCGTTGAGCAGGTTGCGCTTGAGGCCAGGAGGAGCCTCGAACGTCACCTTGACCGACTGCTGCAAGAGGATCGGCGGGAACCTGCGAGGAGGAGGGGAGGAGAGGTAGGGAAAGGCCCAAAGGAAGAAGCAGAGGAAGCAAGAGGGACGAAGCAGGAGACAGAAGAGGGAGGAACAGGAGAAAGGAGGGAGGGCAGTAGAGTCAGCACGATTGCACAGCCACCGGCTTCTCCGCACCTTGGGTGGGGTTCTGTTGTCATCCAGAGGCGGAAGGAGCTCTGGGGTTGGATGGAATGGAGGATTTTCTCGACCACCGGCAGCCACGAGACGACCAGGTGAACGTTCTGCAAGCACAGCCAGGTCCCCTCGTTCGCGGCCTCGTTCAGCATCCTGATCGCGTTCTCCGCCTGCCCCTGCCCCATGGCGATCTGCCTGTAGTTCCCTGGCCCGAGGATCTTCGGATACGTCAGGGGGAGGCACAGGAAGGGCAGCGGCCAACCTGATCAGCCTCCTGCTCCAGGATGGCCGAGGGGTCCGAGCCCGGCGTGACGATGAACATGATCGGCGTCCTCTCCGACGTCTCCTGCGACAGCTGCCGGAGGTCCAGCGAGCCAATGTTGGAGCTCTGCACCTGCGCTCGCGCGAAAGGATTCAGCACCACCACCACCACCATCACCACCTCTTTCTCCACCACCACCACCTCCTCCTCCTCTTTCTCCTCCTCCTCCTCCCCCTCCCCTTCTCGTTGCTCACCCCCAGATTTTCTCCCACGAACAACTCCATGGCGCTCTGGAGGCGATCGGGCCGGAGGGCCTGGAGGATGAGCATCCTCTTGAACGCGCGCAGACCGGCCGCTTGGCTCGGGAACTCCTTGGGCACCTCCGGCTTCACCGAGTTGAACCAGTCGAGCCAGGACTTGCTGTCCTGAAGGTTCAAGCTGGACACGAGGGACGGCAGGGTAGCGGCGAGGCGCAGGAGGGAGGGAGCGCGGTCAGCAGGTAGCCATTCCGGGGGGTTGAAGCCGGAGGAGCTGGTGTCAGAGACGGTCAGACCGACGAAGAAGTCCCACTCCATGTCGGCGAACATCTCGGGGTTCATGCCATGGACGAGATGCATGCCGAACGTGAGGCGGTCGTCCTTGAAGAGCGAGCGGCCGACGAAGTAGAAGAGGTTGCGCTTGAGGGTGGAGACGAGGATGCGGAGGCGGTCCTCCACCTCGTTAGCTGAGGAGCTAAGAAGGCGAACGAGTCAGCAGGTCAGTCCGGTCATGTTCCTCCTCCTCCTCTCCTCCTCCCACCCCCCCGCGCCTACCATCTTATCTTATAGCTGAGTCAGCGAAGCTCACGAAAAGATGCCTCCACATCTATGTCACCTTTTCACTTGGTCACATCATTGATGAAGAATGGCGTAATCCCTTGAAAAATTTCCAACTTTATGTTCCTTAACAACAAAATACGAGTGAGAAAAAAAAAGTGGTTT